TAAATTTTTAATTATTTATAGTAAATATATTATAGCTTTTATTACCTTTATTTCTATATAATAGTTATAGCTTAAATATAAGTATAAGTAAAATATAATTACTTTAGGCTCTACTATTAAGAAATATTATAAGTTTATACCCTTTAATAATTACTTTTATTAAAAATTTTAATAGTTATATTAATTATATAATAGTATTAATAAATTCCTTAGGGAGGTTATCCTTTTTTTTAGGATTATTATCTTTTAGAGTTTCCTTATTCTCTTTAAGCTAAATTTTATAATAAATATTTTTAAAATTAATAACTATAAACTATTTTAGCTATTTCTTTTTAAAGTTAATATTATTAATATATAATAGTGTTTATAGTACTTAAGGATTTTTATTATATATTTTGCATTAATAATAACTATAGATAGGTATATTTATAAAGTTATATTTATAATAAGCCTTACTATTATTTATACTTCCTTATCCTTTATAAGTTTAAAAATTATAGCTATAGTTATATAGCTTTTTCTTAATCTATATATTATAGTAGTAATCCTAGTAGTAACATTAGTATTATTTTACTAAATTATATTTTTTAAAATTTAGGGATTTATATTATTAAGTATATTATTCCTAGACTTTAGAGATTATATAAGTTCTATAGTAGAACTTAGTATATAATTCTAGGTTTTTATAATTATATTCCTTAGTAAAGTAAATATTATATTATACTTTTTCTTAATTTATAAATTATTATTATATTTTAAAGTTATTTTTCCTAAGGATTTTAACTATAGGTTTAAATACCTTAAGGGTGTTAATTTAATTAGGGTTTATAAGTAATATTATATAAATTTATATATACTGCTATACCTTAGGTATATCCTATAGCAGGGGTATAATATTAATTATAATAGTATTAGTAGTTTTTAATAGGGGTATAGCGTTATATATAAATACTATATTCTTAGGGTTATTAGCCTTTCTTAAGGTAGGTTTCTTTACTAGGGCTTATGTTAGTTTATTAAGTTTAAGTTTCTCTATAACTTAAGCTATATCTAAGTTAAAGATCCTATTATTACTATATTCTTAATCTAGTAGTTACTTAAATTTATAAATAGTGTTAATAGTTTATTTAAGTTATTTTTATAGTTTATTAATTTTCTTAAATTAATAGTTTTAAGCTATATAGCCTTTTTTACTATAGTTATAATAAAGGAATTTCTTTCCTTTAGTAATAGTATTAAAGTCTATTTATCTAGGGTTTATTTTATAGGCGTAAGTAATTTCTTTATATTATTTCTTACCCTAGTTAGCCTTATAGTAGTGTAATAGGAAAGGTTATAATTTCCCCTTACACTTCTTTTAGCACTTATACTACCTATTATTAATTTTAATAGCTTTATTTATATATTCTTAAAGGGTGTTAGAATAGTTAAGTTTATATAGTTTATTTTTTACTTCTTCCTTTAATCCTTTATAAAAGTATTCTATTAAGGGTTTATATTTTTATTTAAGCTTTAAAAAGATTTATATAAACTAAGAAATATACTTAAATATAGCCCCTTTTTAGCGAAGATTCTTAAGTTTTTATTTAGTAACCTGTTCTTTATTAATTATTCCGAAAACTAACTAAAGTATAATTTTAAAGTTTATATAGTTTAAGAAGATATAAGTAGTTTTACTATTATGGAATATATCCGTAGTTTTAATATAGTTTTTTGTAATAGGTTTAAACTAGTTAAGTATAGCTTTTTTTATATAGTTAAAAGTATAAAAAATCTTATTTTTAATAGTTAGGAATTATTTACTATTAATAATATAATAAACCTTAAGTTAACTAAGAAAGGTTTATAAAGTATTAGTCTTTTTAGTAAAAGGTCTTAGTTACTTAAGTTTAATTATTTTAGTAGCTTTAGTATCCTAGGCTAACTTTAGGTTATTCTTTAGTTAGTTATTTTATACTTAAAGTTTTTTTAAAGCTATAGTAAGGCTTTTAAGAATAATAACAGGTTTAGGGATTTAAAAAGCTATAGTGCTTTCTATTGCCTAAATAGTATATAATACTAATCTAAATAAGAGTTATTAATATATAATAGACTAGTTTATATTAAATAGTATAGCGTAGTTCTTAAGGTAATAAACTAATTATAGTTTATATTAACAGAGGTAGTAGGGTATAAGTTAGGCAATCTTATTACGTAGCTAATAGGTTAAATACTAAGATTAATTTTATTATTATATTAATAACTAGCTATTTAAACTATTTAGTAAGTGTTTTAGTTAAATTATATATTTAATTATATCTTTATAAGTAACCTAAGTTAACTATTACTAAGGGTTAGTCTTATATAAGAGCGCCCTAATATTTAGGTTGCCCTTTAATATTATATAATCTAATTAATAGTTAGTCCGTGGTTCTTCCAAGGGTATATACCTTCTTCCAGGTAGCATAAGATATCAGATTATAACACAGCCAAAGGCAATATCGCAGAGTCAGCCATCGCCGTAAGCAAAGATCATAGTAATCTAGAACAAGAAAATGAAAATGCAGATCAGGATATTGGCTGAAATCGTTAATTAAAGAGCAATCCTATTTTCACTATAATGCGTTCCTACTTTCACCCTAAGGCTCTATGTCGTTAGCTGCACTAACCCCCTATCATCATAATGACCACGCCCGTCTGCTCCCCCATAGATAAGCCTCTAACCGGCAGATTAGTAGTTAGGTGGGTGACCACCAGCGAACACCGGCTGTTGTATGTTTTTTTTTTTCGCTTTTTGTTTTGTCTTTTTGGGCATTTTTTTGGTTGTCGTTGTTGTCTTGCTTTTGCCCTGTGGTGATCCCCCACTCGTGGCCACTATCAGAGGGCGGGCTGTGTGGGGGCTTGGGCACATGCAACCGCGGTGGAAAATTCAGGTCCAGCCACGCGCTTATCTCAAGTCAAATGGATAAAGAACAATAGAAAGAGATGAAAAGAGTAAACTTATTAGTTTAAAAGTAATTGGTATATAGACGTTGTGTGTAGATCGAGACTAGGGAGCCTGTTTAGCTGTAATGGCTAACTCAACAAAAGGTTATTACCAAGGCCTTGGTTCTTAGCTCAAGTCAATTGGCAACACTGGCTGTCATGTGTTCTTTTCATTTACCCTTTGATTAACATCTTCTTTTACTCAAACAAACCATAACGAAATTTCCACATAAAGACAAATTATTGGTATGGACCTACAATCAAACCTCGTAATGCGAGTTGAGCGTTCAAGCATCTTCCCCAATCTCGCTGTTCCACCTACTACATGTGCCCCGGCATCTGCTCACCTGATACCAATGCAGAGACTCAAACTCCCATTACGCTGAGGTATATAAAAGCCACGCACTCATCTCTCTGAACGACTTTTCCGTTTACACACCCTCAATGCTGTCATGTCTTTCCGTCGTTGGTAGCTTTGTTGACCCGTGCTTGTAGCGATCGACTCCCTACGGAAGAGTAATATTCGTTGGCAGACACGGTACAGTGGAGATGAGATCAAATAATCTTCATACTGAGCACTCTCGGGGCGGAAATAGTTACCTTTAGCAAAGCGTAGAGATACGGCACATAGACCACTGCGCTGGCTCCGGTATCTCCTTTCTCACCTTGACTAGAAAATGTAGAGCTGGCAACCTTGTCCTTTTTGGCTGTGGGCTTGATCCAGACATTGCCGAGAACCAAGCAAGCAAGGATACTCAACCCAAGCATCGGCAGAATGGAAATGAAAGCCCATTCAACTCCGCTGCGGCCTGCTTCCCTCACAGTGGCCTGCAAGGCGCTGGGTAGTTTTGTAATGGCGTCCAGCGACTGGATGTTCTGAGCACTGATACTCCCAATATTTCCCCCATTGGAGATTGGAGGATAAAGAAACAGAGGAAGTGGCTGAAGCAAACTTGGAGTTGAACACGGCGTTCATGATTGTCAACCCTAGAGTGCCTCCAAAGGGCATTGCAAACCGCATAAGCGACATGGCTGAATAAACGCCAACTGAGTATGGCACAGCATTGTGTTAGTGAGAAACATGACTTTGGAAGCAAATCGTGGGGAAACTGACTTGCAATTCCTGGAATATAGTATAGTAATTGAATACCTGCCTGCGAGGCAGGTTTACCCTCCACCAATGTGAAATAGATTCCCACGAGATAAAACACGGCATACATAGCTAAAAGAGTCAAGATTAGTATTCGTCAGCAAAATACAAAGAGAAAGGGGAAGATAAAATAATGCAGAGACACTAGAGGAGTACTTGGCAGAACAATGGGGAAAGGGGGGTTGATGAATTCACCAGCTCCAGCAGAGAACTGAATCACCGCTATAACAGTTGTATCTTTTCGAGAGAAGAGATCTAAAGGCAGCATAGGTGACTGCCGTGGAAACAGCCGCGCTAGTATCCTACCATCTCCCAATAGGCATTCGTATACAAAGAACACGGGCAGCAGAGCGGCCCCGACGATAATGGGCACTAGGACCTGTACAGAGTCCCATGAGAAACTACTCCCTCCCCGGGAAGCGCCGAGAATAATAAGGCCGGCAGCAAAAATAAATAGAATGACGCCGCCTATGTCAAGAGTTGCCAATACCGGGAAGATAGTAGACCACGTAGAGTCCTTGTGGAAGTGGGTTCCCTCTAGCAGCTCGTTGCGCAGAACGAAGAAGAGAAGGATATGTGATACCACAGTAATCTGAAACGTCGGCCGTAGATTACAAAGAAGAAGGGAATAGATTTAAGTGAACTTTGCTACTTACTGTGATGGAAATTACAAAGACATATCTCCAGTTTGCCTGAGAGGTACTATGTGTTGGCGATGTTTACCGAGCCTACATGACAATGGAGGGCCAGCATATCACATACGTCCGTCGGATGTCTGCGAATTCGAACACATCAGATTTTATACTGGGGATTTGTATACTCGCAGCACGATAACCGGTGATGATTGCTTGCCGGGCCGCAGGGAGCGAGGACGCAGGCCAGTCACTTACCCGCCAATCAGCGGACCTATGGCATACGTGCTGCCTGACACGATTGTGAAGAGAGTGTTATTCTTTGCGTTCTCTTCCAGCGTGACTTTATCAGCCAAGATGACAAGAATGATGCTGCTCAATCCAGCCGAGGACAGCCCCTGCAACGCGCGGCCCAGCAGGAGCATGCTCCAGGACTGAGCAGCGGCACAAAGCACACTCCCGATTACTGTAAAGAAAAGAGCCACCTGTAACGAAACGTGCCGACCAAAGACATCTGCAATCTGGCCATAGAAAGGAATGAAGGCCGTTGAAGTGAGCGTGTAGGCAGTGACTATCCAGTTGTGCTCGTCGAACTTGTCTGCGAAGCACAAAGGATTAGAATGCGGTAACGGCAACGGCAACAATAAGAATAACGGAAACGTTGTGATATGATTCTATCGATGTGGATTGGGCACTTTACTTACCGAAATGGGACGCTATAAAAGGAAATGCTGTCGCGACGACGGTCAAGTCCAATGAGGCGAGGAAATACGGCAGCACCAAACCTGCAATCAGCTTGATTCTGTACTTTGTGTTATTTCGCTTGGATTTCTTCACGCAAGCGCGGGCCTGGTTTGGTTGATCAGAGGCGTGTCGGCTCTCTGCATCCAGGGGTTCCATCATGAATGCGCCGGTCGAATCGCCAACATCTCTCCTGGGGACATCATGTTGGGGACACCGTTTAGAGTCATTTTCTATCAGAGACTGAGAAGGAAGGCCTGTTGTTTCCTGTGGCGATACTCGACCGTGGGCATGATCGTCTGCACGACCGTGAGCCTGCTCGCGGTAGTAGTCGTATTGATGTGTTCGTGGCAATTCTTCCGCAGTAATCATCGTCGAGCAAAGTTTGACTACTCTTTGAAATGTAAAAGATGAACTGTGGTAACTCGTAAAATGTCACGAATGAGGTATCAAGTCTTAAGAAACATGGTTTGGAACAGTGTAATACAAGACGCGAGTGCGATACGGAGTAGGACTTGTATACACTTATATAGACAAGTCGACGATGTTTCCGCCATGCATATCCGTCATTTCAACTGCATATACATCTATGGATGGATGCGATATAATTGATAGATACCACTAAGAGAGCTTTGCTCGAATCGAATCAATTGCTCGGGTCGCTTACTCGAAACAGAAATATGATGAGAACGGTGGTGAAGATCTCCTGTCCACATAGTTAATCAACGCAAGCACTGCCGCGCATACATCCTCAAGGCGCAGTCTACTTGAAAAAACGTATGCGTGTAACAATACTAAAGTTCTCTCGTGAGATTAAAACCCCGGATAGTCTAGAAGCATCGCCAAATTAGAGTCTCGCATGGTCTCGCGATCTTTCTAATTGAGAAGCATAGACCAACTCTCACAATGCTTCCGTTTTAGGCCTGGTAGATCTACAGAGGATATACTCGTAAGTAAGGAACGAGTTGTTTGTATATGTGTGCGACACGGAGTAAGCCCTCACTAAGGCTTCTCAAGCTTTGCTCTATGGAAACTCTGCTTGAAAACTAGATGAACCCATCTGGCCGTCCATGGCTAAAGGATAACGAGCTGTAACGCTTGCCTTGATTGTGAAGAATAGTGCTTCAACAGGGTCCAGCGATGAGCGTTTGAGAATCCTGGACAATGCATTCCTGCGGGTTAAATGAGTTGAAAACCAAGCCCGTTTACTAGTAGTAGCGAGTCTGATCAATTACTGCATTGGCTATGCGTTCATCTAGACGGCTCTTAAGATATAAGTCAATCAGCCTTACAGAAGCCTGAGCCACAGCCGTGCTTGATTTGTCGGTAGTTCTATCTAGAGGAGATATAGGTTTGCACACGACGGCTAGGCGAATGGGGGGACTGTACACAAGGAGAGTGATGAAGCTAGATACCGCAATGAGATCGGACACAGCAATGTTTTCTCAACGCTGCTCATTTCATGCGGAGCGGTGAGTGATGGGGGAATCGCCATCACGTGAATTCGCTGCCCATCCCTTCACACATGACTACAAACAGCGGACAATTCGGGTCTCATCTGCTCCACCATAGACAGCTTCGAGCTACTAAGCGGCAAACCAGTAGTTGGGTGTGAATTCCGGCTTTTACAGGCTTTTCTTCTTTTGTTGGCATTTGGGTTTGTCTCTTTGTCTTGGTTGGAATTTTTCTCTCTGTTGACCCCCACCTACCGCTTATTTTGAGGCGGTAGGTGTCAAACTCCAAGCACATACGACCATATCCATCAGAATATATGGGATCCCGTCCGCTCTCCCGGAATCAAGCTGATGAGAGGCAGATTAGTAGTCAGGTGGGTGACCACTGGCGAACACCGGCTGTTGTATGTCTCCTTTTTTTGCTTCTCTTTTGCCCGACCTCTTTTTTTTCTTCCTGGTGGAATACGAAGTGCATATCCTGGGCATTATCCCGGTCATTTGCATGTGATGTGGGCTCGTGCGGGAATACCCCTGAGAAAACAAGGTTATCAATTGCCTTATCTGTGTAGATCTAATTGACATGTGAAATTGCCAGCATCCCGGCGTAGGTACTTGGTCATACCGTACTTGGATACAAGCTCGTCTGTTGGGTTTCCTCCCATGGCTCATCAACTGCTGTCTTCTATCTTAGTAGGTATCTATGTAGTCTTTCAGCTGTTTGCATGTGCTGAGGTGTACGTGGAACAAAGCATTGAGATGGCTGCCATTGATAATTTTGTATCATTCGCTGTGGCATAGGCACCTGGGTAGAATGACAGGAAGAGGCGGATCACAATAGTTTTTGATCTCTGTCAATTGTATGTATCTGGATGTTACCCCTTGAGCGACAAACCCATAATAAATACTATTTCCCTTAAAAGTTTAGTGCTATATCTATTGTGTCCTGCTCTCAGAATACAATTCTCTCCTCAATCCTAGTGACAGGAAGGGCTTTCATACTGTTGTCGACAGCACTCTCTAACGGTCTCTGGCCTCCAGCACATAAATTCAAGCTCAAGATTAGAATCTTTACACTATCATCATTTGATATCTGATAGCCATAGCTTTTGTGTATATGAGCCTTATCGTATTAGCTTGAATTTCGTCGCTACGGTTTCATCTTTGGGAAATGAAGGCTTATATAAACTGAGATTGCAAGCTTCTCAGTTTAAGATCCCGCAGCGCGTCGTAGCCAATCCTAATACTATAGGAGAAATTGTCTAATAACATAGCGATCTGTATCTCAGATGTGTACCATCCAACATTTAAATCCATCACTCATCATTGACATTCAAGTCCTAGCTACTGGCATTAATATCTGCGGATAATGTCATTTTGCTGCTCTTACTATAAGATTTGAGCTGGAAATTTTATAATAACCATACCATTAGAGTCATTTAGAAATGCCACCAAGGAGTTTGATATAGCAAAATCTCGTGCAGGTTCCAAAAACTAGGGTCCAAAATCCGGCGGTAAATAGAACACCCTTTCTGCGGATCGAGTAATCCAGTACCTATTGGTTCCTCTTTGGATGTAACAATACCTGGCTATCGAAACCTCCTCCCATAAATCCTCTGTCTTTTTATAAATAGCAGAATTACAGGTGTAAATCAGGTCTTTGGACTGGTCGAACGTTGATAGGTATCCGAAACTCTGCAAGTCAAACCACCATAAGGGATCTCCAGTTGTGGTGTCCAAGAGCTCTACTCGGCTCGATGAAATATAGACCAATATCTCTGAATCTGACGAAAAGTCAATCATCACACCCCGTTCGTTATTATCTCTAGAGATGCATTGGCCTGTATGCCTCTGTATAATTTCCAGTGGCCCAGATCTTTTCTCGTTGTAAACCAACGTCACATATGCTCAATCTGGAGATATTGCGATTGATTTCACCTGCCTGTAAAAAGTATTGCCAGATCGATATTTATACACACACTGGCGTGTATCGATATACCAGATACATATATCATGGCTGCCCGCAGCTAAATAGGTTGAACCACTGGAGAAGACTACTTGGGATGTTTCAGACTATATCTCATCTTCGTTACACCATCCTTCATCGACAAGGTATCGGAGTTGACAAATTGTTTCGCCTGTTGTAACATTCCAGATAAAAACAGTATTGTGGCCACAAGTTATGAGTTCAGAGTCGAGTGAAAAGGCTAGGGCACAGGATTCTTCTGGGCCAACAGTGAAAGTACTCTCGAGCACACGCAATCGATGGCCGGTGGTTCCGCTCCAGATGCTAATATCAGCATTTAGGGCGTGCAATGCCGCCACAAATCTTGAGTCTGGAGATATCACTACGTTGGTAAAATCGTAGTTGGAGTCTTCCACGCCTAGCTGATTATGACTGATATCCACATGCCGAATCTGAATAGCTCCTCCAATGAAATATGATGCAACCAACATTAAGGTTTTCCAATCAGGGGCAAATGCCATAGATCCTGAAGAACCTGTGACATTAGAGATACACTGTCCAGTTTCAATGCTCCAGAGCTCGAGTCCCCCAACACATTTCACTAGGAAAGATGAGTCCGGAGAGAAACAAATATAGTCCATAAATCCCTCAAATATGGAATATATTGGTTCCCATGTTTCAGTGTTCCAGAGCCTTAAATATAATGGAGATTCTAATGCAAGGAAATATCGAGAATCTGGCGGAAAGATTGGATACCGTCCCAACTGAGGATACTTAGGCGAACTGAGCTTATTGTAGCGAGAATCGAGATATTTTATGAGACTTCCTGTGTGTGTGCAGTGTATCTTCATCCCGTTTTGATCTGCTTAAGCTAGGAGACGAGAACTTGGCGAAAAGGCCTCCTGGGGCCTCTCTGATTGACCCCATAAACAATCGCAGACGACTGTCATCGTTTGCCAAATTTTGACCTTGCTAGTTTCATCATCGATATTCAATCCTGAATAGGAAGATGCTATCAGATCGCCATTCGGTGATAATGCAATAATATTGTTTATCGGGTTATGTTCTCTCAAATTGAGAGAGTACTCTTGAATGCAGTGCCTATCCTCTATGTTCCACATCTCCACTTCACCATTCTGTTCAACGAGAATAGTATCATTTGAGTTAGGGAGAAGAGCTAATCGAGCGCCTTCGCCAACTTCAAATTCAGCGTAGAGATCCCCTGTGTCGACTCTAGTGATAGTGAGAAAGTCGGAGCACAGCGAATATAATAATGATGAATCTGGAGAGAATAGCAGCACCCTTAAATCCTCCACCTCGTCTCTTTGAGGATTTGGTGGTAATTGTTCGTAGTAGTATAGAGGACTGATTGTGTGCCACATTCAACACAAAAGGCGATGGTCCCCAATGCTTATGCACAGTCTCTTCAAACGCGTCACGAATAGCGCTATCCGCCCGCTCAAAGGCAATAGCTGAGAAGTAAAGCTGCAATGGCCAATTCTCCACGGTATCCCTGGAATGTAGAAGAAATTGATGACCGTCTCTAATGAGAAGATGCAGCTCTTTCTGGAGAATATGATCTTCATGTACACAGTTCTCTGCTTTGCATTCAATCATGTCGTTCAGCTTTTGGAAGATATCCAAAGCATGTGGTAGACGGTGCATGAGGGCCAACGATTCCACGCAACGGCTAATGTTTTCATAAGAAATATATGTACCGTTGTATCAATATCCATAAGCTGTTGTTCGCTTTCTGAGGTTGAAGGATAACGAGAAAATAAATGCTGAGCCCAGAAAACACAACAGTATTTTATAGGAGCCATAGGATCGGGAATCTGTGGTTGTATCTCGTTAATGTGTATTCCAGGTCTTTTGAGCCCGTATACATCGTATTTGAGAAATTTAGACATTGCCTCGGTTGATGTTTGAAACATTTTGAGATGCTGAGAACGCAGGCCTGATGGAAATTTCTCTTCAAGTACGTAATCTTTAGCTGGTTGATGTATAAAGTAGACAACATCATTTCGAATAGAGAAGATAGAGCCGCAGTCTTTTGTTATCGATTCCAAGTTGTGTAAGTTGACTGTGGAGTTAAAATGTTCCCACTGGTAGCTCATGAATGTGTAAAGCTCCTCCAGATGAAGTGGTCTTTTTGCTGTAGTAATGATTGATATAAGTAGTTGACAAGCGTCCTGGCCTTTCTTTTCTCCCGGATCATTGATATATTTCTTCGCACCATGTTCCAGCAGCTCCTTGGTGACTTCCACGCCGAACGGGCCAACCGCCAGATGGAGAACTGTATCGCCCTTCTTTGTGGTCAACGTGAGGTCAGCTCCGTGGCTAAGAAGTGCTTTCACCGCGCCAGTATTTTCCTCAAATGCTGCGATGTGCAAGGGAGTCCAGCCGTCATGTGCAAGCATATTTGGATCTGCGCCGGCTTCAAGAAGCAATTTTGTTGCCTACCAACGGCCTCTATCGATGGATGCGGGCAGTGGTGTCCACCCTTGGCTAAGTGTAGCGATGTTCATGTTGGCATTGCATTCGAGGAGTGTTTTAAGTACCCGATGGGCCCTGAATTCACTGGCAAGATAAATCGGGGTTACCGAATCATTGTCATAGGCGCTGATCTCAGAGCCTGCGCGAAGAAGAATCTTGACCGTTTCCTTCTCATTATTCTGTGCTGCGAGGTGAAGAGGTGTTCTGTTTTCGTCATCACGAGCATCCACGATGGCCGTGAAATCAATCAGCTTTTGAACGTGGTCTTCACATCCGTATTGAGCTGCTAAATGTAAAGCACTGTACCCATTTCGCCGGAGATTAGCATCTACTCCTGAATGGAGGAGTACATCGAGAATCTCCATAGACCCTCCCACCGCAGCTTCATGGAGCAAACTGGCCTTGAACAGGTGAAAATCTTTCTTCTGGGCCAGGGGCATGAAATACTTAAAGATAGTATATGCAGCAGATTCTATAGCCCGAGACATTACCGTTGATAAATTGACCAAGGCCACACCATCTTGAAGGAATTTCTCAACAGTGGAGAGATGATTATTGGCTATAGCGTAATAAAGCGGTGATCGCTTCTCACTGTCTAATTGATGAGGGTTTGCCCTATGGTCGAAAAGGCGTATAACAGACTGCCAACATTTCTACCGAACAGCACAATGTAGTGGGGTTTGTCTTTCCTTGTCGACAGAGTTGGGATCTGCATCGGCTTTGAGAAGGGCTTCGACGGCCTCGGGGTGCGCAACAGCAATACGGAGTGGTGTTTCTTCTTTCTTTGAACGCGAATGAATATTTGGCTTGAATTTTAGTAAAAGGTTGATCACGTTAATCCGGCCCTTCCTCGCTGCGATATGTAGCGGAGTTTCACCATTGCAATCCTGGGCTTCGACGTCGGCGTGATAGAGAAAAAGTATTTTAGCCATGTCATGCATCCCGCCATCACATGCGCAATGCAAGACCGTTTTCCCCTTTCCATCTGTTTACCTGACTAAGTCATTCCCTCTCAGGAGGAAGATCCACACGACTGCTAGGTGTCCTCCAACGACGGCTTGGCATAGGGGTAGACGGCCCTTCCATTCACTGGAAGGAGAAACATGCTTCTCCATCAGGAGATACTGAACGACCTCCAGATTTCCTGCTTCTGACACCGCTAAAAGCATCTGGATGCCAAAACTTTCTTTCGATCCAAACATGAACAAGCGGACTGTTGATAAATGTCCACTAGCCGCGGCAAACTCTGCTGCCGAATTGTAATTTTCCGTCTCCACACAGTCTTGATGGATGAGAAACTCTTCGACAATAGCTGTATGCCGCTGTTTGGCAGCATATTGCAGGGGAGTCTTGTTGGTTATGTCTCTGTAATTTACTGCCTCTTCAAATCGAGACTCCTTTTTCAGAACATCTACTATTTTAGATGTCATAGTAGAGTCTCCAGAACTTGCAGCTATATGCAACGCTGTGCGTCCAGCCTTGTCACGAACACTAAGCAAATCTAAGGCTATAAAGTCCTCGACTGCGGTAAGACACTTGAGAGTGTAAATGAGGTGCTCCAAGACATTCACAGAGAGAGCAAATAACTGCTGAAGTCGACACACAACCCAAGCTTCAAACATGGGCATCAACATGGTGTATGATTACTACGCGGAGCGCCCCAAATTGTAAATGTCTTAGAGAAATGCGGGAGGTGGCATGCGAGGTCCGTAAAACGCATGTCTTTCTCGAATATCTAAGAAGAGTTTCGGGTCGTCATGTTTTCAGCCTGTCTAACCCGAGAGACATTGGTCAAAGATAAAGGAAGCTGCTGGTCGTAGTAAGATGGTAATTTAGAATAGCTAAGATGTTATTTATCACCGTTGTATAGTAGTCGTTTTTGAACTTGACGTCGGTGCTGCAAAAAAAAAGAGGCGCATAATCGATGGATTTTAAAAAATATAGTGATTTATTATATTTTGCCTTATTTACCTGAAAGTGGAAAACAAAGCACTTTCGGCAGGAGTGGTGCGCGCTTTGCCACCTTTGTTACAGCATGGGGAATCTTTTACGGTGGAAAAAAAAACACAAGACCTTTGGAGCCGAGTTTTGCTTCAGATTGTTTGCGCAGAAAATATGAGCTGTCAATTTGTAAAGATGCGAGCAAAATGTTGAAATCCACTTCCCTTCTGCGTTCGCTGCATTGTTAATGGACAAGTCAGGGATCTGCAAGGGCTTTTGAGTTGAACTTCGGAGGTATGCTTGACACCATTCGATATAAGGTCAAGTGGGACGGAGACGGCCGCCGTAGTGAGATTGACAAGATGTGGCTTGCGTTTGAGATTTCCCACACACACGATATAGATTGAGATTGTATGGTTGGCTAAAGTGTAGCATGTTTGTGGTTCTGGCTACTATTTCATCGTTCTAGATTTCATCGATGTAATCAAGTTGCTAGTTATGATGGCGTAATACCTTGGACATACCTACGAAAACCGAAGAGAACGCTTGACAATGTCGTCAGTCTCTTGCTGGAAGAGAGATGGATACGTCCAATCGGGAGTTTCTCCTTTTGAGAAAATACTGGTTTCCCGAATAGAGTCAAGTGGATCGGCAAAGAATTTTAGCTGTGCAAGTAGAGCGGGACTTTTGTGGTTTTTGCTGTTTGAAGAGTAACAAAAACAGCAGGTCTAGAACAAATCCTTGAATGAGCATTAGTCAGTTGGGCCATGATTGGCCAGACAAGTAATTCTCAAGCCACTTTAGAACTGAATTACTAATGCGGCCAGCGTCGGTGCAATGCAATTTCATGTTTAGAGTCGTAGAGAAGCTGGAGACTCCCAACAGATGAAACCCCACTGTGCTAGTTGGTACGAGGACCGCCTTTTGCCACCTTGTCTCGGGAAACGCTTGGTGTGATTGACGCCATCGTGATTTTTTTTAAAATAGTACTAATATATAGATATATATATACATGTGTGTGAGCTAATTGTTTATAAACAGATCGTACGTGTTTCTTTGTCTTGTGTAGAGCAAATTGGCGGGCTCTATAAAACGTGAAACTGCTGAGTCTCAAACCCTCTAAGGCGGAGTTCAGAATAGTTAGGAGCAATTACTTGCTACGTTAAAACGGTCTCCTCTACTCTATACTTCAACGATACCTATTCGATATTTTCCAAGAAGAATAATACTAGTAGATCAACATGGCCGACAGCAGTTCAGCCATCACACTCGACATCTTTAGAGGTACACCTGAAGGAGAGTTGGCTGTTGAAACGACGACTCGCGTTCTTGGCTATGGCGAAGTATACATCGAAACAACCCACTCAGGACTGTGTGGCACCGATCTTCACTATCTGAGGCGCGGACGAATTATCGGCCATGAAGGAGTGGGAGTTGTAAGACAACTCGGCCCTGGTGTATCAACAGACATTAAAGTTGGAGACCGCGTCGGGTTCGGCTATACACACAAGGTCTGCGGCAGCTGTGATTGCTGCATGAGCGGTGAGTTGTACTCTTGAAAACATATCCATCGATATCCTCTCGGTTAGTAGACAAAGGCTAATGGTTTGGGTGGAAAAGGGAGGGATCAGTACTGTACTTCACGCGTTGACTTTAACAGAAACGCTGACAAGATGGGCACTATTTCCTCGGGTGTGATTTGGTCAGCCAACATGGTCTTTCCGATCCCAGACGGATATGACTCTGCCGATGCAGCGCCGCTTCTCTGCGCGGGCTCTACAGTTTTCACAGTCTTGACCGGCCCTGATGTCAAATCAACCGATCGTATTGGTATCATGGGTATCGGTGGCCTAGGCCACTTGGCCATCAAACTTGCTGCAACTATGGGCCACGAGGTTGTAGTTCTATCAACCTCTGAATCAAAACGACAAGAAGCACTGGAATATGGAGCGACAGAATTTCATGTCTACGATTCAGAGAAGCCTGCTCCACCCGGCTTTAGACCCTTGAACCATTTATTGCTATGCGGAAATACTGGAAGCAAAAACTTCAACAAGTATGTCACCCCAATTCATACCATCGTATCGTAAACCAATCCATTTACTAACGTAACCGTGGCAGTCTGATTGAACTCTTGGCCGTCCATGGCACAATTTACCCCTTGACCGTTTCTGCGGAGAATACACCCATTGATCTGGGAGAGTTGACTGGTCTAGGAGCTTCCATCAGAGGATCACTGACGGCTTCGCGCCGCACTATTTGCGAATTGCTTCGATTCGCTTCTCGGCATGGAATCAAGCCAACAGTTATGACTTTCCCAATGACGGAAGATGGAGTCAAACAAGCCATTGACACGTTAAAAAATGGGAAGATGAGATACCGAGGAGTGTTGGTCCGATAGATCAGGAAACTGGTGGAATTATACCTCACACCCAGTAAAAGAATTGATAGCCAATCTATATCGAGCCGATTCACAGCGTGATCAAGCGGCGAGATCCTGCTCATCCCAAAAGATTTATCCATCATTTGCTCTATATGCTACTGTAATAAGCAGATCGCTATATAGACAGCCTCAGTCTTGAAACCCGGTCCATCGCGCGCTTTACCCTTAGACCAAGCAATTCCATGATCTTTGTGGCCTTCAAGCCCTAGCCTGCTCAGTGGATGACAATGACGAGAGAGATAGAAATAGACAGATAATAGCAAGCGAGCCTAAGGTCAAGGTTCAAGCGATCAAATAAAGGGTGCCATAGGTCGTTTACCTACTGGAGTTTGCTTGTACAAGCTGTGTGATTGGGCCTTGGAGTATATGAATGCATTCACATGCTACAACCTATTTTGGCGTTATGAGACCTTTTATGTTCTTTCAAGTACCAATGTTGAAGCAGACTTTGCGTAGTTAACAGTACATTCAATAGAGCACTAGAACGACTACTTCAGCGACCAGCGCTTAAACAATATATAGCTTTCTATCGGTGGCGTCAAATGTGCGGTGTAGCAGCTATTTTCTCTGGCAAATGATTTTACCAAAAACGATTCTCGCGTTTGTCATCCAGTTCTGCAATATTCCCTCAGCTTGACACCCGGTGCTATGACCTGGTTTGACATGCAGATCTTATGTAGCGTTGGATTCCCACAATCCTTCCCCATGCTCACCCCCATGCTCCTCCAACTCAGGAAGCCTGCATGCCTATAATCACGCCGGATATCCGTTCAAGTAGAAACACAGCACTGTTTAGATTCGGCCGACTTTCCGCTTGGGGATGATACGATAATCTTCTAGCCAAGCAAATGAATGTTAAAAAAAAAGTTCAAGTTATTAAGCAAATCCAACTCTTCTATATATTCCTTTCCCCAACAAATGTATAACTTGTTCCCCCAAATATCGAAGATATCATCGATAATGGAAATAATAGTAAATGGATTTTTATAATTGAGGCTCTGATCTTCCTTCATTTGAAGGTAATGTAAGTAGTCATATCTGTGGCAACTATGACAGCGACGTCATCATCAATTATGACATGTTACTAGCTGCTCCATGAGATTGGAGTTGACACCAATACTACAATAGTTATTACAACTAAGCTTGCTACATGCCGTAACAACAGGTGAAACTAGGCTTGTGACACTAATCTATGCAATTTTTCATTTCATGTATAATTATATAAGAATTGCCTTCGTCACCTAAAAATAGATTATGCTGTGGCGAATCCTGCGGCTAACGGTTGGTAAAGTTCGTATTCCCAAAGGATAACCTGTGAGGCTCGGGAAGCTGTTTGGGCGGACAATCGGGATACACGTCTATGCCACGCAACTAGTAGGGGCCATTGAATAGATTCAATCCGATAGCTGTATTATCAAATTGTGTCTGTAATTATTCTAACGAGTGTCGAGAAGGGAAGGTTATATGTTCAGCATGTATATGCTGTTGTCAACTGAAGTCGACTGTCTACGGTCGACTTTTCAATAATTGGCTGGCTGATCCGTCTCTTAATGCAAAGTCCAGCATTTTGCATTACGACCCCAACGTTGTTGCTCCTCCTAATTCAACCTGTTCCACACAGTGACCTCTTTCTTCATGATTAGGTATAATAGCATGCAAAAGACTGAGCTAATTGCACCGGAACACAGTTTTGGCCTCCGTTACTGCTTTGTGTCAAAGCATCTCCCTGGCAGTTGAGTTGGCCGTAAAAGATGCATGTGCAACTGTTTTCGAAGCAATTGGCAACGTTTGCCCATCGGCCATACTTGTAGTTGTAACAGTTATTGGGACCGCCAAATAGTTTAGTCGCCCAGCTCACATTAAGCTGGCCGACCCTGTTTTGGCACGCATCGTCGTAATAGTTGACTTGCATTTGGGTCGCCGCAGAAGCAAAAGAGGCGGTAAGAACCGCGAGAAGTGAGGTGGTAGAGAAATGCATGGTCACTGGTTGACTAATAGGTGCTGAATGATCGAATTGTTGAAGTGATGTTTGAATACCAGGGAGAGAGAGCTCGCGGTCCATGGCCAATTTATATCTGGATAAAAGGACGGAGTCTCTAGACACTTCCATATTGAGCAGCTCAATAATCATAATACCCCTGCGTTTACTGCGTCAACTGATGAAACAAATGTATACATTCTTTCTTGACTTCGTCAATCGTATGAACTCCTATTGCCCTACACCTATAGTATAACATCACCTTCGTATATGCATGAACTTCTGCAGCGCTAGTATGGCTATACAAGGGGCTCTACGGTGGAGACCGTACATACACTCAGTAAGCTTATCATCATGCACCTGCGGTATAGTTGTTCAAATTCTCATCTCCACAGGTTGAGCTAAACTAATAAGGGAGAGAAATTGATTGCGAGACCCATCAGTTGTATGTAAGTGGAATATTGAACCGTCCCAATCCTCACGTATGCCATATATTTACTGCCATATATTTACTGCTGCATACCTATGTGAGGGCGGAAAGGGAAACAAAAATGAAACCTGAACGGTCAATTGAAATACTACCTAAATCTGAGTCCGGGAGTTGACGATGGCCATACGTAGTAGATACCTACCTTGGTAATTGCAAGTACCGGCGCAGAGGTAAAAGTTTGGTTGCAGATCTCCTGATTTAGCGGCTGCTTACTCCTTATTGCCTCCACTATTATAAACCTCATACGAGATATAGTATGGCTGACACGCTTGAGTAGCACTCGCACAATTTACCATAACGGACTAGATAGCTGCGAAGGTAAGTGGGACACTTTAAATCAAGACGCATCCAGTCGAAATGCGGCGTCCTGATGTTCAATACAGGTACGTTTGGATAAGTTCCTGAGGTAATAAGCCTAGTTGCTTGGATCAATAAGGTAATGATGTTACAGAAGACAGGAAAGAATTTTGACCGGCTGTAATTACAAGGGCGTAAGAGTAGAATAGAGGGTGTGGCTTGTATTGAGTCCCGATGCTTTAACAACTAGCTGTTTACACAATCTTAAAGGGTGTATTAAATGGGACTCATATATCCCGTCGTTTCTAGGCTATCTTCTGACCTAGTCTAATGGTACCTGTGAGGTTCCACTGGTATTCTCACGGTTCTCGCAGTAGGTATCGGTGTGAGACTCAGAGATCCTAGTTCTCATCGGTTGTCTTATCCATATTTTCTCCGGCTATGTACCTACTACATTGGGCCCGGTCGTAATAACACAAAGCGAAAAGAATACAGTACTATTTCGTAAATACACTCTTATCATTAGTGATAAACATGCTATAAATAACCTACGTTATATACTCTGACTTTCCTCGTACGATTTACCATAATCAGCTGCGGAGTTGCTACTCAGAAGAAATTTAGGAGGGGCTACGATATTAACAAATTAGTGAGATTCAGTTGGATTACGAAGGGTGGATCCAACGGGTAGCCACTCGACCTGGCTTTTTCAGCGGCTCAGAACTCAGAGATATTGAATGTAGGTACATGTCGGTATGTACGCAATAGATGGTTCCTTGGGGGCAACGGATGTCATTATGGGCTGATTGAACACGTCAACTAGTACATACGACCATAGGTAGAGGAAACTTCGGGGTCCCGTCTGCTCCCCCATCGACAAGCCTCTAACCGGCAGATTAGTAGTTGAGTGGGTGACCATCAGCGAACACCGGCTGTTGTATGTTTCTCTTTTTTTTTATCATTTCAATATCTAATATCGTATGTCAATCAGTTCTCATGCGCCTCGATTGAGTAACTTGAAGAGGTCACAGCCCTCTGTAGAAGACTACCTATGTATATGTGGGTGGAACTTGCCGCCAGCAATGGGTCCCCCTATCTCAATTCATGCCTTACTTAAAAAAAAGCATGAATCAAATCCTTCTGGTTTACTAGATTATTGTGTCAAGAGTCTTCTGTTCTACGTATACAATTTTGATAATCGTTTACCGGAAGTCATATAACCTCTGCTCATCTGAAAACCACCATGGCAGACCAGTCACCCATGGAACTTCCCCTGACGCCTTTTTATTTAACGTCTGACTCAACCAAGAACGCCTCCAGATTCTTGTACTTGCTAACTATTAGCTTCTATTCAACAGATAAGAAATCTTACACTCATTATATGTCATAAATCGCGGCTAACACGAATCGCCATTTCTCGCCCGACGTCACTTCATTCCTCTTCGTCGTAACCGCGGCGTCGAGACTAACACTCTGGATCAATCCGGTTTGTTCCTTTCTCATAAACTTCCCCTCCCGCGCACGGTTGCACTATGGAAAGATTTACACCAGTATCTATATCTGCCGAAATGGCACCGAGCTATTTTGGCGTTGCTATACCCAACACTCGCCCATCAAGGTGCACACCATTCCAACGATCTTGAAACATTTCAAGGAGTTTCCTATTCTCACATCGAATCGACATAAATGTAGCTCTATGGTCTTCAATATCAGGCAATAGGCATTGTTTCGACACTTTTTCATCATAAGGTTGCGTGTATGCACGTTTGTACTCTATTATGGGAGTAATGGATTCCCCGGACTTGTGGGTTTTGTGTGCTTCTGGTCGGGAAGAGTATGCTGGCATTAATACGAACCTCATAGAGACTGTTATTTTCTCCGCACTTGGACAGAAGTTATCACAGAATGCGAAAATTCCTTAACGCCAGCCGATATTGAGCGAGTACGACTCATCACTTCGTGGGATATGCTACAGAAACAACTGTTTGATCCAGCGGGCACATGGACCAGCAAAGAGATTCCATCCCAGATATCCTTGCTAGAAACAACATTTGACCACTATCGCCGATTCACACACATATTTGAGTCCCAGTTGGCCCCCGGCCTTGAGGCCAACTTCTTCTGGGGCATCATTGGCCTACTGCTACAGGTGAGTGCGCATTTATCAACCCCCTTGGGTAACAGCGCATTACTCACAGCGGGACAGCTTACAGCACAAGATTTACAAGCCCTCTCTAAGATCCCACCAATGCTCAAATCACTTGGCTATAAAGTAGAGGCTTTCAAGCGGCATTACTCTGCGTCGAATCAAGAAAATGCGGGTCAGGTGAAGGAGGCATGCTTTGACATGCAGGTTCAGTTGGTTCAATTTTTCACAGTCTCCGTCAAGTCTCTGCGTGGCGAGAAAGATGAGATACAGCACGGTAAGTATCGGTAGACGCAGAATTGTCACTATTTCCCCCTAACTGGTGTAAAACTCAGATAAACGAGCCGGCCAAGTTCATCGACACGAACAGGAGGATCTATGGTCGTGGCTTCAACGTGAGTTTAGCAGCACAAATCGGGCACTTTCTCAAGCCCTATCGCGAGTTGAGAATCCAGTGACTGTACTTTCACCTCTGCGGGGCCAAAGCAGCTCTGTAGACATTCCTGCAATCACACAGCAAGTATCGTGGATGCAACTACCAACCAAGATGTGCTCAAGCTTCTTTGGCAGAGAGAGCACATTTGAGGAAATCGACCAGGTCCTCGGCCGGGATGGATCAGCAGCAACTTTCCAATCTATAGCATTGTTTGGTCTTGGCGGTATTGGCAAGAGCTCCATCGCGGCACGATATATAGAGAGAAAGATGGAAGAGAAGAAGTACGATGTCGTATTTTGGGCTTATGGCGAGACGACGGCATCGTTGCGACAGAGCTTCACAGACGTGGCGTTAAGACTTGAATTGCCTGGAGCACAGCCTGACCTACACAATGAGAATTTGCAACTATTTCAGAACTGGTTCCAGACGACTGGTAAGTTATTCCGCCTTGTTATTCTTGATATTGGCTGATTTTCTCTATGGTAGACTGCAAATGGTTAGTGGTTTACGACAATGTTGAGCATGATAAGCTGTTGGAGCCATACTGGCCGGAAAGTAGTCATGGAAAGGCTATCATTACCACTCGCAATTATAACTTGGTATACAAATTTGCCACCTCTGGCTTGGAAATAACTTCATGGGATACCAAGACCGGTTCCGAGTTTCTCTTATTCTTGTTGAAAGACAACATAGGCCGCGACATCCAATCAGAGGAACTCTCAGCAATCGAACTTGCCGAAAAACTCGGTGGTCATGCATTGGGTATCTCTCACATGGCTGGTCTCATTCAACGAAGGTCTTGGTCCATTACCGAATTCATGCGTATTTATTTGAAAGATCCGAGAAGCCTTCATATATCTGAGTTACAGGAAGTGTGGGACGTATCGTTTGGTACTTTGGAAAGAAATAGCCGAGTTTTCCTGGGAGTTGCATCATTCTTGGTCCCAGACAACATGGCACAGGAGCTATTTGAGAACAGGCAAGGCCATGATCTCCCAGATGATCTTGAGTTTTTCCTTGATGATTCGGAGTATGTCTGATCCCTTCCTTGAAAGAAATGTGCCTGACCTCGACTACAGATTTTCTGGGGCTATGGAACCGCTCTTGGCCCTTGCGTTGATGAAATGGGATAAAGGTGCTCGTATCTTCTCATGTCATCGCATGGTGCAGATGCAATTCCGGTCTTTCCTATCCCTAGAAGAGCGACAACAAGCATTCGACAATGCAGTGCTGCTAGTACACAACGCCTTTGCCAAACAGTCAGACTCGACGAACAAGAATCAGTTTTACCATCAGTGGACTCAGTGTAATCGTTGCTTACAACACGTTCTCCGTCTGAAAGACAATTTTAAGGAAGAGCGTAGACACTCGGAGAAATTCAAGGCATCGTCGCTGTTCTGCGAGCTTTTGAAAGATTGCCAGAGGTAGGATATTGCCTGCTACAAAATTGCGACAATATGTTGACTCAACTATCAGGTATCTCTACGAGATCAATGCATTTAAAGAGCTCGAGGACGTCTGCGAATTAAACCTCTTAGCCGTGGACACCCTCGAAGACCAGGAACAAGCCATCGATATCAAGGCCTCGACACTGTCCCACCATGCCAGCATGTATGAGAGCATCGGCAGAGTCGAAGAGGCCATCGAACTAAACATCAAGGGTTACAATATGCGCTTAGAAGAAGAACCTCGCAAAGGTGGCCTCCTCGGCGGCTTTGAGCAAAATCTCGGATACAACTACAATACTGCTAATCAGCACGAAACAGCGCTCGTGTGGTTTGAAAAGTCACGCGTTACTTGGACCGCGTGGAATGTAAATGAAGGCAGAGAAGCGGACTGGCCCACGGTCACAAAGAAGAATACTGCGAGGTGCCTTGTGTATCTGGGGAGGTACGAGGAGGCGCAGTCATTACTCGACGTTTCAATCAGAGAGTTTAAGCAGGAGAAGCCTCTCAACTGGGCTATGCTAGCTTTGTACGTACAGTCTCTGACCCTTCCATGCAACCCGATTAACGTCTCTCTCGCAGCACATACTTTGTCCAGGGGATCCTTGAACGACGCAGAAACAGACCGGAAGCTGCCGAGGCAAATTTCATGGAAGCGCAGAATATATGGTTCAAAGGTGATCAAACGCGTTTTCACCCGTTCAATGCAGGATGCATTTATAAGACGGGCGTGGTTTGCCTAGACCGGGGCAAGGTGGAGGCTGCTATGTACGTTTCACTTCCCTCCGTCTCTCTCATGTTTCTATCTCCCCTCCTGCAATTATATAATGCATGTATCCATCTCCTATATATCAGCCATATACTTTCCATTTTTCTGCAATCATTAATTTACCAATACATACTGTTTAGTAAACATCTTCGCGACGCCCTCGAGATCACAAAATTCCACAGCGACACCATGCCCGTTGAGCACGCGCGTAGCCTGTTCAAACTCTCCGAGGCTATAGCCCAGAACTCATCTACAAAAGAGAACGGGGACGGTGCCACCGAGGACGAAGCACAAAGTTTGAGAGACGAGGCGGAAATATATTTGCTCAGGCGGGATAAAAGCGCGACCCAATTTGGGAACGAAGACGCCTATGATAGATGGGTGCCGATTTTCTGGCGGTAAGGAGTGTATGAGGATGCCTATATCAGAAGGCAAGAGAGGATGGAAATACGAAGTACGTTGTGATTATGGGTGCTGGAATTTGCTTGAAAGGTCGCGTTAGAATGCTATGTAGTACCATCAAGCGAACCAGCGAAGCATATTATGTCTAGCAATTCCTTAGCCTTCAGATGTCCCTCTCAGCCCACGACTGGATAATACCCTCGTTAGTCTCGTCGTAAACCTTGACTTGGACACTTTCACCCGTTCGGAAGGTATTTGGCTGCACAAACTTCCACTTCATCTTGGGTTTCGACACGACAATCTTGCGCCATTCTTCATACACACCATCAACTATGCACAGAGGCTCATAGAACCTGCTGCATGCAGATACATCGGCGGTGCAGCGCCAAATGTGTAGCTTGCAGAGATACGAGCCCAGAGATTGTTTACCGTGGGAAAGGATCTTGGACCGGTCAACATTTACTGTGAGAGATTGCTGCGTGGAATGGTGGGTGATGGAGATGACTCCGTTCCCGTCTTGTAGGAGGTGTTTAAGAATGGAGAAGTGAGCCTAGTTGAGGGTTAATTAGATGAATATGTCTAAGAGGGAGGTTATGTTATGCCTACTTGGTGGTGGACTTGGCCCCAGGCTTGGTCTTGGAGGTTATAATGCTCGAGTGCTTGCAGACCATCGACGCCAATGTTGAGATATGTTGCGTAGAGAACTGCGTTTGATTAGAATGAGCATTATGCTATATCTATGTAGGGGCGCAATTTGGATTTTGCAACGTACGGTCTTCAGCTGTGATGCTGCTGCTGTCCGTGTAGCCGAAAATGCTCAGCAGATGCTTGTTGTCCATGAGATATTCCGACATTAAGATTGCACGACATTCCTCGACTGTTCCTGCCAGCTTCCCAAACACACTTCCCCACGTCTGGCCGGGCAGATAGTATGAAGTTACGGCTTCCCCGCTGAGAGGGCTGATTGGAGGATTCTGCTTGTCAAAGTTGTAGGTTCCTGGCGACGTCTCGCTGAGGAGCTTGCCTGTGCCGTGGCCGATCAATTCATGGATGGCAGTGGTGAGAAACCTCACAATGTGCGTCGTCTTCTTAAAAAACTTGAGTTCGGACGAGTCAACCCAGTAGCAGGGAAGGTCGGGGTTGTTGTTGACGCTGAGGCGATTCGCGAGGACGATATTCTTGAAGCCACGGGTCTCTCGGATGTAATCATACTGTCAAGATTAACTGAGTGACGGCTAACAAGAATGGTAAAACACAAACTCACATTTGGGAGATTGGCGGCTTCAAAGACGATGCTTCCACACACAGCCAGCGCTAAGACAGTTAATGTCTCCCTTTCCGTTCCTAGAGGAGGGCGGAGGTAGAGCATGTGGGTAGAGGAGAGGAAGGTACATAGCTGATTAACTGACCATGGACACTAGTAAAGTCTGGAGCCTCAAATAGACTCTTTTCATATGGTCCTTTGCCGTCATTCACACCTTCGACCGCCCATGGAAGCTGTCGAATGAATGTAGCTGAGCTGTGGACAAAGGTTTTCAATCTCTTGATTTCATCGGCATCGGCAATGCCTATCATAGCCTCCCACTCAGAGCGGATTCCAGCCGGGTCGCGGTAAGGCTCGATGAAGCCAAGTATGTTCTCGACTCTGGCTGATACATCCGTCACCCAAGCCTTTTGCGATTCTTGGAAGGCTTCTAAGCTGCCAGTGCGAAAGCATTCGATGTATTGTGTCAAAAACTCGGTCTGTTTATCATTCCCGGCATACTGCTTTGCTATTTCTAAATCGGAGCAGATCTTGGCCAATTCCTCCGAGTGGTCTCCTCGGACAAGGAAGATGCCGTCTGCTAGTTCGTTGTCGCCATTCTTGGGTAGATGGGTTTCTGCAGAAGCTTGCAACACCTGCAACACAGGCTTGCCGTTTTTGAGCACTTTTCGAACGCGTGTATTCTCCGGGCCGATTAACCTTTTGTTCATGATGTCTGAGACCTTGGCGATGTCGTCCTTAGTAATGGGCTCCTCGGTAGGGTAGTAGCCCGACTGTGCATTCTTGCCGGGGTATCCGAGACTGAACGGCGGAACTGCCAACAAACGATCAATGATCTTGTCTAGCCCAGCTTTCGTCTTTGGGGAAACACCAGCAAGCTTCCCGAGAGCTTCTGCCGACACGTCAGGGATGAACTTCTGGTCGCCCTCTCCCTAATGGATCATTCATGGTCAGCACTTGAAGACGCAGAGAGACGCAGAAGACGGCGTATTGCGCTCTTGGCTTACATAAAAGTTGCCCAAGTTGCAAAGAAACGTGGCGGCATACTCGAGAAATGAAGCCAGTTCTCCGGGAGTGATGTTGCATTGCGCTACCAAGGTGTCCCATTTCCCATCACAGGCATGGTAGAGATCCATGATGAAGTCAAAGATGTCGGGGCTTTCCGGCGACACCTGCCGCATGATGATCCTGCTTCCATGCCATGCTGCCCGTGCAAGGTAATGGGCATACAACTTGTCGCGATCGTCGAGGGCATCGAATATGGTCTTGATCTCGAGCTGATGGATGGTAGCGCCAACGGGCGGAGTATGAGGGCTCTCGGGCGAAGACATGGAGATTCTTGACGAAGAAGAGGCGTGGAAAACAAGAGTGACAAAGCTGAGGAGAGCTTCAGAGCTTCGGAATGAGGGGATATGAGATACCTACTATTAGGTAGGGACGTGCATACCGGCCTAGGAATAATCGTGATCCGGTATGGCCCAGGCTTTCCAATACGATTCACCTATAGTTTTGTAGAGGTCGGTGCGAGCATGAGCGATATACTCATCCCGCTCAACCTGTGTCTTTCATACAGGGTATGGTGGCACCTTGGATAGAATTTCCATGTTATTTTCGTGCATTCGTTTTTGAGACAGTAAACGTGTTCCCTTATACTATATATCTGATATACAGGTCCCTACATGTACGAGGGGAAACCAGTTTCTAGGCGGTGTTGGTATAAGAGATTCTCACTGCGAGACTATAGTTCAATAACTTGAGCAAACCGGATAGAATCGGTTTGGTAGGCTAGAAAAGGCAGCGACAATTGTCGAGATTGAATGGCGCATTACTTTCAAGATTAAAAGACCACTCAACGAACAACGCAATACAGAAGCAAAGAATCCCCATAGCAAAAAACGAGTCACCAGCCGAGCAAAGTCGCAAACATCTACGGTGGATAAAGGCGATAAATACCGATTACAACCACAATAACTATAATGATAAGTATAAAAATAACTGTGATCGGAATGGACGGGCAGAGGATAGAGTCTTGGGTCGGAAGATCGTCGTGTTTGGGCATGTAAATGCATGGCACGAACACCGCTGAACAATAACCGCTGTCCTAGCTTTGTTTGCGCTTATTACATGTTTACAGTAAAGCGGTACTTGTTTCGCCTCGTTTGACAATTCCAAAGTTCCCTCAACACAATATGTAGGCGCGTCACTAAGTAAGGCAGGGATTTTTGATCCTGTAATGGCTTGATATGGTCCAGACCAATGCTCTCTGAGGCAGCAGTGACGATCCTTTTGGAGGCGAATTGTGATTGATTCGCCAGCGTTATACCTATGTTGATAGACCAGCGGGAGTTCGAATCCTTCGACTCTGTCCTGAGCGCTTCGAGGCGCGATCTGTCACACAGCCCCTCCAGCAAGCGTTAATTGTGGTGAATGAGATGTAAGCTATTCTGTGTATTTGCTCCATACATGCGACGGTTATGAGTTCACGTTGACTATCCTCCCTCCTTCTTCCCTTGCTTGGAATTGTACAAGCAATCCGTCAGATTCCTTTTCCATAGCCGTCTCACTCTCATCGACGCCATGTATAACAGGTCGTTGATCAAACCCGTGAAAAAAGACTGCCAGTATATTGTTTGTCCACGGCACTAAGCCAGCCTTTCTCGTTCTCATCATAACTATCACCAAAAACACCAGAGAGGCCACCAGCTCGAATGCGGGTAGAATAAGCCATTCCCAAGTCACAACAGCGTGGCTAATTGGAGAAAATGCTTTGCCATGTATGGGTGATGGCTGGTAGGACGCACTCCGAAGGCTGAGAGATAGACTGTTGGCCAAATTGTCCATCAAGTCAGGAAACCCCGCCTCTGAGCTGTTCATGGCTATTCGAACTATCTGCATGAGATCTGAAGAAGCGGCAAATCCGAGTGAGTCGACATCGCTTGAATATGCACTTCCCACAAGTAGAAAGTTGAGCCAGTCGGCTGTCGAATCCTTCGAAGTACCTAGAACACGGAACTCCTCCGAGTGAGGTGGACGAAACGTGTAATGTTCATACTGAGGAAGTAATCCCTGTGTTTCGTTTGTCCATACAGAAGTTACCGTCTCGCGTAATGTTCCATTGACGAAGATGGCGCTCATGTTTCGAACACAAAACTGCAACATGCACTCAAAGGCCACCGGTGCCGCATACATGTCTCCTACCATCTCATCGGGAGAGAATTTTGTCTGATCTGGTTGCTCAGGAATTGTGCCGGGAGCAGCGGCGACAGCGAAAGCGCTCAACAGCACCGAGCCATTATGTGGAAATGCAACCGAGTCCCATCTCTCTGGGGCAATCGTCGTGGACACATTGACAACTCCGTTCGTGATGGAGAAATCGACTTTGTTGTTCATTTCCCCTGGTTGAATGCCCGTCAGCCCAAAGCCATTCGGTAAAGTATATACATTTGTCTCATAAGCTTCGTCGGTAAGTTTATGCGGAACGATGCGTATTTTATCTCTTTTCAGTTGCCGTGTGAGGTTTTTGCAAGTGTTGCAGAACCCCAATGTCTGGTACGAGCTCCATGTGCAATTACCAGTGCTGCAATGTGCCGTCGCGGTAAAGTTCGTACCAGGGGGGTTGAAGAAAGCTAGGTAGGGGGCTGAAGTGAGCACCGAGTCAACTCCATCTATAGTCCCTCCGTGATCAATGGGCGCCGAACCGACACCGTTCATATACTGCGCAATAGGCATCAGTGCATTTCCACCAGAGGCTGTGTAGATCGTATCGTAGTTTAGGGCCTGTTGAACGAAGGTACCGATGCCTAGGGCAACTATGGTGATGAAGGCTCCCAAGGCTGCAACTAAACTGCGAGAGAAGGAGTAAGAAACTACAGTCGTGTCCAAGCGAAGCCATATGTAAATGGATATTACACTCACCCCCCTCTGCGACTAGCAATGAGTACTACGCTTCCCCAAGCGCCTCTGCTGGCTTCATCAATGGTGTGAAAGTCGGCCAACGGTTTCTTTTGCAACGCATTTAGCCACTTTAGCTGTCCAACACCGGCGCCATAAGATATCTCCAAGAAAAACTCGCCGAGGGTTGACAAGATTTGAACAATAGCACTAGGAGTGATACCGAACTTTAGCTGCGGCAGGGGATGGCCATCAAAGACCCTCAAGGCTATGACAAGGGCAATGAAGCAGCTGGCACTGGCGATCCAACTCGAAACTTCTGCCTTCCAGGCTATCGAACGCCATCTCGAGCGTAGTTGCTGATGCCGACTTGGCGGCTGCACCCGTTGTGTTGGAGCTTTGTCTGGTGGTGGAGGCTGGTCGGCGATAGGAGGGGATTCCTCATGGTTGTCTCCAAGGAGGTGTTCACGGTCATGCTCGGGAGATTGGACTTCTAAGTCTCGTAGTTCGTGATTATCGTCCATGTTTTGCATGTGAATGCTATGCAGTTCTTGCTGCACCCACCAACCTAAACTGAGCAATGAACGTGATACAACAAGAAGACGAATGCGAATGGAACAGAAATTAGCGTTTCTACGGGCCTTGGCGCTTCATTTATTAATACCGAGCTGAGGTACTCCCTCCTACATCTGATAACTCAGCCGTTGATCACTCTCGGATAATAATCTGCTGATGCGTACTCCATAGCACGAAGGATTGGGACTAACTTCAACACAGGCTAAGGTGAGTAGAAAACAGGTATTTGAGAGGTACTTCTGGACGAGAATTAATTGCCTACGCTTAAGTCGCGACTTAGCGTGTTTCTCTTTACACGCAGCGTAACCCTGTTCTACTGTCTTGCCACATGTATTAGTCTTTAGAAGATCCGAGTATCCGCGCTCTCTACTAATTGCACATGAGTTGAGAATTGGTGTGAGATTCGCGCTTCTCAATGCTACGAACGCTTTCATATCCTGACCTAAAAGCCTCGGGGGGTATCAAAGCGCTGTGACGCGTCTATTCTCCTTCTTGCACGGAAGGATTCGTGAGCTTGGGGGTTATACGGAATACGTAGAAGCGCCCGCCCAGCACTCGTCTGTCTCAACGGTAGATTTCTTAGAGCAATAGCTTAGGCACGCTAAGAATTACTCCATCGTTCCCATTGCCTTAAGAGCGGCTCGGCACGAAATTCCCCGCCTTACCAAGCTCAGCTCTCAAATCGGAAGATAGGCTCAGATAGATCGAGTAGCCTATACTTGCGCGTTACACATTCCCTCCACCAAGGAGCGCTGGTGATTATGTTTTCCTCTTCTCATGAAATCCATCAGATTGCCTGCCCATAATCCATGGCGTCACGATCGGTTCCGCTATTGTGAGGATGCTGAAAGATTAAAAGACACGCCATAGACGCATGTTTGGCTATTCCATACCTAGTAACTAGGTGGTTGGGTCATCAGTGGGGTAAACCAGCTCCATTTACAGCTCTCTCTCGCCAGTACAGAATAGAAACAAAAGAGTTGTCAAGCTTCGAGATACCAGAAGGGCTAGAAAAAGTAGCGACTTGCTAGAGACAGAAACTAGACGCTCGCAGAAACTTATCGCCGAATTCACCTTGATGCGGATTCAACAAGCGCCTTCCATGAGGTGTTTGTACCCAAAGCTCTGGGCAGGTATGACAACGTACTTGGCGTCAAAGTTGCAAGATCTCGTCAAGATGGTGTCTGAAACCTAAGCATTCGAAATTGGAAATAAGAAGAAAACGAAATCGGATTTTACATACAATCGGCGTAATTTTAGTTGAAGCCGTCTCAGAAGTTACTCAACGGTCCTACTCACGAGTTTGAATTGGCGCTGACCTGGATGGTGGGAACACTCACTTTGGCAGTTGGGCTGACAGCGCCTATCTCATATTGCAGAGGCATCCGACGAGGCACTATTGATGACATGATCAACAAATAGGCACCAGCCAATCAAGCGGGTTAGCAGCACACCCTTCGACATTTTATCACTTCGTAATGGCGAAGTTGGAAACGGCCTCCTGGGGCTGTGTCTGTCACGTCTGCCTAGGAGATCAAGTCAGAGCAGTATATCTTATTTAATACAACTCTTTAACAGTACGAAACACTTTCTCTTCCATTTCAATATCTTAGAGAAGCTGTCAAGTACCGGCGAACCTGGCCAATTTTCACAATGTCCACGCAAAACCCGAACAGCGTCGGAGGCTTGGAACTTCTCTATCAGCAATTACCTTTAGATGAGCTTCAGATACGTCTCTTAAGAATAGAGTCGAACGCAGGGGCAACACAGATCCAAGCTACGCTCATTAAACGCAACTTACTTGACATTAAGAGAGGGGGTCCTTTTTTCGAGGCGTTATCATATACCTGGGGCCCGCCTACAGTCACCAAGGATATCGTTATTAATGGAATCGCGTTTCCTGTTACCGCAAACCTATACGCCTTCTTGGAGAACTACCAAGAGGCAGGTCAGGGCGTCGACCTGTGGATAGATGCAATATGTGTCAATCAGAGCGACTTATTGGAGAAAAACCACCAGATTCCAATGATGAACCTGATTTACGCAGCAGCCAGAGCACTGATTATCTGGCTTGGGGAATCTTCATCCGACAGCGACTTAGCGTTGGAATGGATCAACCATCTTGGCAGCGCTTCTCCATATGACAAGATGCCCAACATTCCCAACAAGGCCTGGCAAGCTATACAGAGCCTGCTTGAACGCCCTTGGTGGAAGCGCATTTGGATAGTGCAAGAATTGACTGCGGGTGCAATGGGCCTAAAGTTGGAGAAGGCCTCGATTCTCTGCGGCCATACCCGCGTTTCGTGGATGTCCGTGGTAATTGCCGCCGCTCGCATGAAGGCCTACCAAGACGATCAAAGACAAGCTTTCCCAACAATCACAGAGATCTTGGAGCTCGATAGCTTGCGAGACAGTGCCGGAAACTATTTTATGAAACAGCCAACGTCCAAGTCTCTCTTTGACTTGATTTGCCGTTACAGGCACTTCCTGGCCACAAACAGACGGGACAAGATATATGCAATCTGGAACATGTTTGCAAGAGCGCCTTCAACAAGACTGCCGACAAGATATGATCAATCCGTGGAGGATGTATACGTCGATTTCGCTGCAGAACTGCTATCCGGCGAGACAGGTTTGGAAGTTCTCCGCCATTGTGTGAATGGTGGTGCGGACATACCATCTTGGGCTCCGGATTGGTCTGTTCCACCTGGTGCGCTATCACTACCTTTTAGAAATATTCAACGATATTTCGACGTTCCCTGGTGGGCAGAGCCAGATTTTGAAAAACCCAGGGCTCCTTTTGGCGTTTCTGGTGGAACCAGAGACACACAAGCTAGATTCCGCGTGAATCCTCTGGTGAGCAGTGCAGAGGAAGAAGTATTGCGAGAACGCCGAATAAAACGGCTAGAAATGGCCGCCAACGGTTCTGCGGTTGTCAAAAGTCTGGATGATATCCCGGACCATTTTACATTCCACAAGGAATGCCCGGATCATGTCAAAGAACAAATCAAAGCGCTACTGCATCGCAATGACTTTATACTTGCAATTGGAGATGAAAACCCCAATATGCCGGGAAACCCTGACGCAATACAGCAAGGCGAGCTTATCACTGAGCGCCAGATGAAGAAATGGCTTCTGCAAGAGCTCCGACTCTCTACGGCAAAGCCATTGTACGCAACCGCCACGTCGGTGAATGCCAGCTTCAAGATAAATAGGGACGAAAAGTCTTTGCAGATCAAGGGAGTGTTGTGGGATGAACTCGAAGTGTGTCACGATAGCTTTGTTGAAGACATCGACCAAAATTTCGCCGATGCAACCCGTTTCATGATTGCAGTTGGTTGCTGCAAACATCTTGCCGTGTCCAACAAAAGTGCAGCAGACAAGTATCCCACTGCAGCCGAGTTATTGGAAGCATTCTGGTCTACATTGTTTGTTGGACAAGCGATCCAAAATGAAGGCAAAGATGACACCAAGGACCATCTACGCTATGAGGACTGGCTCCCAGAAATCCCAAAGTCATGGGTACCAGACCAGCCTCCTGTAACGGCTAAAACCACGGGGTTGATTGACATTGCAGAGATGAATGAAGTTATCGAGCGCCCGACTTCTCTTTTCAACAACCAACCAGAAAATGGCGGTGGTAGTTTTGAGCACCGACTTGCGCCTCAACTAAGGGAGCAGGTGTTTCCACCTCACAGCAACGAATACGTTGCGCTCTTAGGCCAACTTGCTTCAGCATGGCACCAACAGCCATACGACTTATACCATCGACCATTTGATCTCTTAAACGTCATTCCTGATCCGTACTGGGAATCCAGACGCCACAAGGACGAACTCGCCAAAGACCAAGCGAAAAACAGGCGGTCAAGACGAATCAGATCAACCCTTGAGATTATCGAGAATCCTTCTGATCGAGAGTTCTTGCGTCGGGCGTACGATGAGGTGGATGAGACCTTGAAGCAGGAACCAAGCCTTGTGCCACAGAAGACTCTGCCTGCAGGTATCGAAAGGTATGCTGTAGGGCGAAAATTCTTCATTACCAAGAAGGGCTACTTTGGCTTGGGTCCCAAGAAATCAGGGCCTGGAGATAGGGTAGCTGTGCTTTTTGGCTCCGGTGTACCCTTTGTGGTTCGGAAGTGTCCATCTGTTTCAGGGAAGCGGGCTTGGAGGATCGTTGGTGAGTGTTATGTGCACGGGATAATGCACGGTGAGATTGTTCAAAAGTGGAATCTTGGCTCAGCCGAGGCACAGATGCTTCTTTTGATATAATGCGTTGATGAATTGTAGAATTTGGTTCTTGGCATATGGTTCTGTGAAAGACTTCGTGGGGCAGCTTCAGCGGGCATGGGATCAATGGTCGTGAGTCGAAATGGCATTGGCCCATTACTAAGTCGCACATGAACGTCAAGTTGTGAAAATGCAATGAGTTACATCAATGATAAAGGTATGCCATGGCATCTTTACGGAACAACTGCTCAGATGCAATAGTGTCCAAGCAAACAATATATTAGCAAGGCTCTGCATTTACTGTTCCGCTGCCTACGGCTTGGAAAACACTTTGGTCCAAAACTATGCCAAATTCATCGACAAAGTGTCAGATGCTAAAAAATCCATCATCTTAATGGAATATTCTAGCCAAAGAATGGTAAACAAAGTCACTCAGACGGCTATATCCTTTGCCAACCGTGGGTCCCATTATAACATTCTCTTCGGCACACGATGGACAGGAGCACAGAACGACGCCATCTGTCGAGAATGGAAACATAATATGGGCCGTAAAGTTACCGGTGAGTTGATCAAGACTAAAAATAATGAAGGCGTTGAAGAAGACGGAAATTATGACCGTACGTGGACAAGCACGCTCGCTGATGTAATATTTTGTATGGCCGACTTGAATTTCCGTCGAATAGTTGTTTCTTCTTCATCGGCTCAAGATATTTTTGGTGCCAATTACGAAAGAGTTTTGGAATTGAAGAAGATGTATGATCCCAAGAACATTTTTGCCAAGGGGGCAGGTAAATTCAGTTTTTGAAACAGCGCTTTTATGATTCGAGACGCACCACGTTGGTGTTGCATTCATTTAAGTCATCACAGATGGTCATTTCTATATTCATTAAGACCCAGTTAGAAAATTCAAACGACAATGAAAACACAAACATCTCGTCGTAGCCTCTAATGAAAATGCAGTACGTGCAGTTACTTCTAAAAAGGACAGAATTGACGTGGATCGTTTGAATACAGTCATTGAAACATCGCCACTGAGGGCTGAATTTCCGTCAAATGGGCTACTCAAGGTTCAGCGTCTTGCAGCCTTATCACGCTTAGCTCTGAACATAGAATCGCATGATATTATACTCTTTAAGAGTATTAAAAATCTACATTTGCTCAAGCAGGAGCCAAAATTTTGTCAACACGGCCAGGCGCAATAACGAGAGCCGTGGGCCAAGACCCGTGGGTCGGATTTCAATCTCATTATACCGGCAAGGGCCAACAAGGGTCGAATAATAACTGACCCAAGAGAATCACGCCATGTTACCGTCTTATACAGGCAGCACCGCCAGCGCTCATTTTCCGTTCTCACTACTGGGGGAGCTTTGATGGGTCCTTTGTCGTGAATTCTTTGTCTTAAACACCAAGCCTTTATTCCGAGCTCCAACAGGCGCACCAGGCAGCAATGGGTTTTTAGCACCAAATCGTCACAATCACATGACTACGCGCTGGGCTATTTAGTACGATGAACAAGACATAGATCGTTCAGTTTTTCGCATTCATGTGTTGCGGTCCATGTTATTTCAAGATGTCGCGCCTTTCAACTCTTCCACAGGAATTGACTATTCAGATCTTCCGGCTTCTCGAATTTGGTGACAAAGTGCGCCTCAGTGCAACTTGCAGACGATACCGAGCTCAATTGGCGCCAGAAATCTTTCAAACAATTCGCCTATCCAACAATGAGACGGTTGCACGGTCCGTACTGAGTGCCGTCGAGACTTACGGTGAGTACACAACTCGGATCGAGTTTATAGCTCACTGCGAGCACAATGACGAAGTAACGACGCCCGCTCTCACGCCAGCCGCAGCCAAGGTCATCCAAGGTCATCTCACCCCCAATCTAAGCACCTTCAGTCTCAAGTTTGACTTTGACTTTGACGACGGCGAAGAGTGGGATTCGGACCATCCAGATGCCGTGATGGGAATGTCAATATATATATTCGAAGGCTTGGAAACCGAAGAACACGTCCGAGAGAGGGAAGAGACATGGCAGTGGCGGGCTCTCATGAACGAGACCTGGCGGGCGCTGGCAGCCAATATCCACGTGAGGGAGCTCATCTTGGACGAGCTGATTCCCAAGAGAACATCAGCTTTCCTAACAGAAGAGTTTCGTCAATTTCTCTCTCGAATAGAGGCTGCAACCTTTAAGATATTCGGCATGGATAACGGCGCAGGGTGGAAGACCAATACAGTCTGGGGTGTTGTCGACTTCCTTCAAAATTTGGATACTATGTTTTTCCACCACATGACTGGACTGAAACATCTTGCTATCCATGCTGCAGATCCCCTTGGCCCTCAATGGACTCGTCACATACCGCTTACGCTTATGCCCGCCGATCTTCCTCTATTGAAATCGTTAAAGCTGACGAGGTGTTTCGTTGGCCCAGAGCTAGTCTCGTTTATAGGCGGTCATCTAAACGTTCTCAAATCTCTCGACGTCAAGGAATGTGTTAGTGGGCATGGGAATGTGCATCCCTATTACGAACATGACTGCTCTTGGGCCAGTTTTTTTGATGCTTTATACGAGGCAAAACCCGCAATCACGGAGTTGATTGCCGGGAATGGTAGCAATGTACCACTCACGGAGGATGAAAAGTATAGTTCCGACTATCAGTTCGAGGACGAACCTGAAGGCATCCAGGAGATTCGGCGGAAGCTCAAGGCCGACCCGAGGCTGCGATTGTTTGGTTACGGGGCGGTAGACAACAAGTATGGCATGTTCTTTCTAAATGAGCAAGCCAATGAGGAGGAGTTTAAAAGTGGCGATGACCAGAGAGCATTTGATCGACTCATGGGCCTTGTAAACGAGAACGCTGCAAGGCAAGCAATGATCTTGGTTTAGGAGTCATTCACTTGGTGTAAAGAATGCCTTTGTCTGCATGTGAGCGGCGATTTCAACAACAACTCCTAGAAACCTTCGGAATAGAGTACGAAACATCAGTTGCAAAGATTATGAGTGAATCGGGTGAGATATCAGTTGTTTATACCACTAAATCTAACCAACGATGGAAAGACATCAGTTCTGGTTAGGTAAAGTGGACACAAGATTAGTCCCGTCAAAGGCAACGATAGAGTACATGCAGTTACTCGATTTACACTGTATTAACAGATTCAAGTCACCAACTATCACGGATGATATTGGTCAATGCCTAATAAGACTTTATTTTTACTCTTTAAAGTGACTGGTTGTCCTTGCATTTTCCCTGGCCTCCAACACGGTTTTGCGTCTGAGAAGGCATGCCGTACCAATGCTCTCCAAAACCCATCTCTTGTCCAGTGTGTGATATCTGTTTTTGCCAAGGTTTGATAGAGTGATATGGCTCCGAAACTTATTCGTAGCTGACAGTCACCGAGCTGCCAGAGACACTTGTTCCAGTCAAGATGTTTCCTCTCGAGTCCTCAAGGTCAATAATAACGGCAGACCCGCTGCCTGGTGTAACAGTTGCTCCGTTGATGAGGGCGCTTGCTCCGGTGAAGGTAACAGATCCAAAGTCAGCAAATGGAACCAATGAGCTGCCGGAGGTGAAGTCTTCGACAATCCATTCAGCACTTGTACCGGGCAAGGGTGAGTTTTCCCTGGAAAAGGTATGGGACACAGTTCTTCCGCCGCTCGACAATGTCGTGACTCCACTGTTAGTGCCAGTCTTTGTGGCAGTAACAGTTACAACTGATCCAGCAGAGACAGAGATTCCCGAGTATTCGACCAGCGAAGCGGGGAGATACTCGTACCAGGCCTCGTACAAGTATTCGCCACCTTCGACGCACCAGAGGACGCCAGTCTGAATGAGATCGGCATCGGCATAACCATCAATTCCAACCCATGCAGCGCCGCAGTATTCATTGCGAGAGCTGCCGCCAGCTGGGACGCTGGGCTGGGGAACAGTGAAGGTGCCGGTAACCTCGGTAATGCCTGAAGTTGTGATTGCGGCGCCTGCCCAGTTGGTAGACTCGACGTCGGCAGTTCCATTGCCAATGTTCGAGCCGGCTTGGAATCTATTCGACCGACGAGCAGCGCTTCGAGCGCGGATAGCATCCATAGCCGCCTGCTTGCGAGCAGCAATAGGGGACGCCAAGGCGGCAGTGGCCACCAAAAGGACGTTTGCGACTAAAGTGACGGACTTCATCTTGAATGGCTATGAATGAGATTGATGAACTCAAATAACCGAAGGTTGTGCAAGGTATATATGTAAAAGGTTATGAGTCGAGGCGTCTGTAAATGATAGGCTGTTGTCTAAACTGTTTCTATCAGTGCTTGGATCTGAGTTAAACAGGTCTCATCAAGGACTTTATATACTTGCAATCTCTGGGTCCTCGGTATACACTGCACCGACTCATCCATCGATAACCCTCACTTGTAAATAATGACTTAAAGACGCAATCGTGGGGGATGATCAAAATAGGAATGTATGATTTGCCTTTAAGCAAGAGGCCATTTATCTAAACTTCAAGATATCATTCTCATGGCCACACGTCATTAGCTGCTGGGCCGAATCAAGTGTACAGTATGATCTTTAAAGAAGGAAAATAAAAATGAGAGAAAAACCATTGCGAGACTCACGAGTGCCTCGTTCTACAACCTGCCTATTACAGAGAACAGCCCCGATATGAGTGCATTGAATGGTGTGGTCAGTACTAGAAGCATCACCAAGAAATATGGATGCCAAGTCTGAGGATCGGCTAGCCTTGCCGGCGAGGGGTACGGGAATATATGTTTCGTTGCTTCACGTTGTCCCCAACTGGGTGAAGAAAGTAGCCCTTGGTAATAATGTATGGAAAGATAATCACGGGATTTCATAGCTACCATGCATTTCTACCTAATATCAAAGATTTCATTCTTGATTTTATATGGTCTCGCTGCAGGTTGGTGCCTGGTGTGTGTGCTATATCTCGTAGGCCCGTCTATCTTACATGAAGCGGTTATATAAATTGTTAGTTCATCTGGTGAGCAACTAGATCAAGACGTGACGTGTTGTGAATTTAACGCAATCTGTAGTAGGTCCAATCTCCGTTAGGATCCCTCAGGTATCAACTAGCTCCATCTCAACTTTTCATCTAGTAAAGTAGCTTTGCAACGGCGGGTGATGTGAAGTACAGCTTCCTGTTTTGCATCATTGATAAGAGAAAATACCAACGCTAACTCCAAATTCTGTCGAGGGGTAGTCACTGCGGCCGTTCTCTCGCGTAGCAGCATTACTTACCCTTGCAAGTGCTTCATATCCTGATATTTTATGTCTTCTTTGGTAAAGGCTGAGAACAACTCATCTTTGCATATTTCAAGGTTGCACTTCAATGACCTAACGCCACTATAAAGCTGAGTAACGCCATTACAGGGTGGGGTAAATAACTATGAAAAGCGTGGGTGATGTTGTGTAGTAACAACGGCTCGGAAATAACCTGGTGCAATGCTACCCCATAATCAACTTCAACCCGGTACACACATCTCTTTCAACATGCATGTGATATCAATCGTAGTTACCATCTCTCATCGTTAGCAGAAGGCTCCTTCCTGTTACACTCCCAAGCCGATCCATCTGCATATGGTTGCTTGCATGGGGGCTTTGGAAACGGAGAAATCACTTGGACACTAAGATGGGTCGAGGGTGGGTTAAATCTCTTATTCTCATCGTTCGAATGCTGGATGACAACAGACAAGACTTTGATATGAATGTATAGCTCATATACTAGCTTTTGATGAAAATGAATATTCGATATGCTATAGTTGCATCTTTAAACTAATAGTAGACTCCATGTCGCCACTTTTTTGCATCGTCGTCTCCGCTGCTGATCATATTTCTTTTCCCTGAACAAGTCAGATTTTCATCTATAAAAATAAGTTTATCCTCTAGCTACGTTTGCCTTCTCACATTTTCTCCTTCTCTCGGCTGAGAGCGAAACCTTGTTAACATCTTGTTGCAAATATATGATGGCTATCTGAGAACCCTGTTCTCCTCCCCTGTCTAGATCATTAACCCTTGCAGTGGACTGCAGCAAGTTGGAGATCTTGCCTGCATCGGGCGGCCACGGGTCGGCATGTTGATCCGTCTTGGACATCTCCAACGGATCAGTCGGCACTCTTCAAGAGCAACATGGATCTGGACCCGTTCCCCGCGATGTGGCCATCTAAGCGAAGGACATGAGCGAAATGCCCACTTCAGGCGAGCCTTGAGAGCCGCACCAATGGCTCTCATTTTCTTTCACAAAACCGCGCCTCACTCTGCCATTTAGGTTCCTGATGTGATCTGCAGCAGGTCATCAACTGTACCGGAGGCTTAGGCGTGAGTCTTCTGCGAAGCCTTTGTTGAACACTTCAATGAAGGTGTTCTCTCCATGGGCGCCACGACGTGCTTCAACCAGGTTTTTACAATATCGGCAAAGCTCTGGTGCTCCCCGCTTGTGTTTGGATCACCATCTTGGAGGCAGGGTATGCTACTGGTGCGGAAATTCTCAAATTCATCGAGCAGATTCGAGCGGTATCTCGACCCACCAATAGGCTGTGACGGATCTTGCTTCATGCTAACTTGGACCACTCATGTGTCTCAATTTCTGGCGTTCTGCTGATATTGCCTAGCAGAGTTATCCACACCTTCAGATGATAGCATATCGACATACATCTGCATGAATCGAGCCTTTTTTCTGCTGATGGTGTAGTCGCGTGAGTGCCGCTTCGTTCAGTTGGCTACATGGATCATGTGCCACTCAACGGCATTAGTTAGTAGTGTTCAAGCTTGCAGATACAAACCTACCGATCAATGTGGGCATCAATTTAGAAAGAAAAAAAAGAGGCATACTCGTCAAAGCCGTTGAGCTGGCTTTCTTCCATGACATGTCGAAGCCCGTGTGTCAGTCACACTAACCGCAGGTGAAACCCATGGCCAAGCTCGCTGCACCAAGTCTTTCCACATTATTTCTAGGCTTCTGATGGTTGTTTCCCGTATCACGGTATTGGTCATTGTTATTCACATCACGATCATCAGTGAGATTTTTGATGTCGTGGAGATTGGCTTCGCTGAGTGGGAAATCGCAGATCCCTCTAGTCGTGTTGGCTGCAGTGAAAGGTGGTGTGCGCGCCCTTTAGAATCTAGATAAATTCAGTCACCTCCTCGCATCAGGTCTTTCTTTTGAGTGTGTGCCACTTCTTGGGTGGATTTATGATGGTGGTTATGAGGGGGGATGTGCTATTTGTTAGAGTGAGAAACAGGCTATTGGGGAGCTATTCATACAATTCCTCCTTCTCGAACACGCACCTCATCTAACGATATATGAAAACTATTCAAGCTAGACGATGCTCCGATATTCCTTCAAACATGGACGCGTACTATCCGCATTAAGAGGCTCGCAGCAATCAAGAATGCTGAGACCTTAATTACCATTCCGTTATTATTGGTATAAAGCATGGCCTGGTCAAGTAAGCGGCCAGCTTCCTGCTTGAATAGCCTACTGTATGCGCTAGCAGGGAATGCCATCCTGCTCAGGCAGTGTTGTACGAGTGTTTCGCATGATCTTTAAGCCTGTGCAGGTTTAAGTACAAGGCAGCTACATATTTCACGAAGATAAAAGTAAGGAGTGATCTCATAAAATTCTCTAAACGGAGCGCTGAAATCAGTAAATCACACGGGACAAGGTGCCTGGCATTGTATAAATTCGCATCGACAATGGTCCATGGTCCTCGAATGCATGCATATCCAGAACTCTGTACCCAGTTAGGCAACGTGTGTCATTTTTGAGTAGCTGAAATGCGCCTTCAATGCATGCGGCCATTAATTCAGCTGACAAGATATTTCAGCTGCCTGCTAGCAGGTAAACATTCTTCATAACAGGATACGATAAAGCACTTTGAACCAAGCATCAAATCCCTCCAATTCACAGTCCGTTATGTTTGGCCAACTCAAGATTGGTATGCTTTACTCCACTTAATAGTGCGGTAATCGGCGTGGCAGACACAAGCTGACGCCACGGAAACAGAAGTAATTTGAGTATCAACAGATAAATATAAGTTTCATACCAACAAAAGCTTTTCGTATTCATGCGGCGACGACTCAATCCAGAAAACCAAATACTAAACTGCTGCCTGTTTTAACCGATGTTGGTCCTCCTTTGACAATCACATGTGTTCGTTGTGCTAATTTGATGTAGCAGATACAATGACTACTGTCGCTTCTACTGCCACCGAGGCCCCAACCTGGAAATTGCGACTTCGAAGTGCTCAAGCTCAGATTAAGGCTCAAGAATCTCAAGGCACCATTAACATTACGGCATACTTGGCCAACCCTGAGTCCTTTGGCATTGGCCATCAAAGTCTTCACAGCGCTGAGGATGGTGTTGAGAAACTGAACCAGCATGCGGGGAAGCTGAAGGATCATTTGACATTACTCCGTGCAAACTCTGCCTCTGATGACAAATTTGAACCCATCACCAGGGCTCTTATTCAGGATCATCAAAATCTAAGTGACGATCTCAAGGTCGTCACAGATAGGCTTCAAGACGATAGAGTAGACAAACGAACGGCCATGGAGAGGATGAGAGAAGCCCGCCAGAGAGCAAAGAAGCAGTCTATCGATAGTATCGATAAGTCATACGATAACGCTGTTGAAATTACTGAACATCAACCAGAAGATCAACAGGAGACGGCAGCAGATGCGTGGGTCCTCATATACGACCAGTTTCTAGAGCTGACTGATAAAATTTTCAATTTGTTCTTAGACATGCACAATGCTATTTCGCAGTGGCTTGTAGATGTCTGGGAAAATGTCAAAGAGGCGTGGAACAAGATGAAGGGGGTTTTCGTAGAGATATGGCAATGGTTCAATGATTTGTTTGGTTGAGGCGTAGTAGAGACTTCTATTTACATGGCCTGACCACCAAGAGTATGCTCACTAGCTAGAGGCCCATGCCAACGTCTACAATACTTTAAATCGGCATAATATGATTGAGTTGTTTTTCGATAATGTGGCCTCTTGGCCTGAATCAGCAGAAGAAACAAGCATGGATATTTCAAATTCTATTTTAATCACATCTATCAACAACATAGCAAGTTTACAACCCAACGACAAGCGCATTTGTACTCACCTATACATTAGTGTCTCATGTTATTGACGAACACATGTGAATCTTTTATAATTCCCGTTGCTGATGTTGCCACTCGGTAGTCAAAGGATGTAACCCTAAATTTAATTGCAAAAGAGCCCAACGTAGGCAAGATCCCCACTAGGATTCTGGAAACACTGCCAGATATTGGGATCGATGGTCAATCCTGGTGGTCCTGCAACTCCAAGGCCACAATTCGGCTTGTTATCAAAATTGACAGTTACTCCATAGTCGCTGGAGACCAAGATATTTTTAATTCTGAAACTGCCGCCTTGCTTCGGTCCACCAAGTACACACTGCTCGGTGATCTCGACCGGGCCACCATCTGGATTATTGCAATTGGCGCCTGTATATAATTGAAGTTGATTTGCCGAGGCAGAGCGTCCGAAGAAGAGGAGTGCGGTCATAGCTGGGTCGAAAGCCTAAATGTAATTCAGCAAGTGCGTAAAATCAGCTATAGAATTACGTGCGTACGATGAATTTGACCGTTGTAAATACTTTATAGAACTTTGATTAGAGATGGAAAGCGGGGGATGCCTGTGAAGAATTGTGAAAGATCGTGAAGAGAATTTCGAGAAGGAGTCACAGCGCTTTATATATTGTGTTGTAATATGTATAAGACATATGTTACGCAATCTGGTATGCTATGGCATGCTCTAGGTAGACAAATATTCAACAAGGATGCAAGTACATTATCACATAAGCTGGCTAGTCTTATGCTCATGTCATATCGCATCTATGATTTGTCACCTGAGTATTAGTGGTCTTCCCTGTGTGAACGGACAAGTAATTCTTCACGACATTCACTGGACTTGGCCAATAAGCGATGGGTTAATGGACAGCTTAGCGGAGCCAGATACGGCGTATGGTAGTGAATTATAGTATTGCCTATGCTGCTGCTCGTTATCGTTTAAGCTACCCAACGCCGACGATCTGGAGTTGCCTCTCGCTTTTGTTTACACAATTTGATGCCCATGACCCTAAATCCACTTCTTGTCCATGACATCGGTGTTTTTCACATTACGCCTGCAGTAGTAAGCCAACTAGACGCCGTAATACTGTTCATTACCTAGCGAATGTATGCATTTGTTATTTTAAGACGTTCTTGAGGATGGAAGATCCGCGGCTATCCCACAGTCTAGTTTAACCTATAAACAGAAAATCCCCAATACAGGCTATAGTGATGATAGTATTGCCTATACTTTGGTCCTTTTCCTAACATACAGGAGATAAGACATGTTTGCTTCTATTTGTGTCCCGAGGTCATCATTGCATATTCCGTATTCAATAGACAGTTGCAGTAATAAAACAGTCAAGGTCTATTTACACATTTGTGTGATATCTTCTGAACTTATATCACCTATTCTTCAATATTCCCATTCCTTCATGAGTGGATTGGCTTCAATTTCATTGTCAAAGTTGGGGAGGTTTCCTGAATGGCACCACGGTTTAATGGTCATCTCCTTGCGAATAGTCCCAGAGAAAAACGAAGACCACTTCATTCGGGGGTGGGCTTCGTTGATATGGGCGGTTGTCGTATGATGCAACAACTTTCCAAAGTTCTTGACATAGGGGTGGACGCTTGTGTTATCGTACGTTGTGGCAAGCTGGATCAGCTGGCCGAGATACGCAATCTCACCATGAATTCCCATATCTTCATGCCGAATAATGGCTTCCGAAACAGCCTCTGCCTGGTCCTTGGCGACTCCAAAATCCTTGAGGACCTGCAGAGCCTTGATGCCGCCATAGATGTCGAAAGACATTCTAGTGGCAGTCAAGAATTCTTCCGCGGTCCCAATATCGTGGAGCAGACAAGTAAGAGCCCAGGTAACTGAGTTAAGCCCAGCAGCTTGTTTTGGAAAATATTGCTTGGTGATGGCCATTCCTTCAAAAGACGTATTAGCACGCAACCAATATACCTGAACAGATACTCCATCGGTATGAATTACACACCGAAGTAATACACTCTCATAGAATGATTAAAAGTCTGAGGGTGGAGAGTTGCCTTGACGTAATCAACCGTCTTCGCCACTACAGGGTCGCTGGATGGAAATCCAAGGTCACTAAGGGTAAGGGGCAATGGTTCAACAGTAGATAGCCGATCACCAAAGAGAGTCCCAGCATGTCTGGGAACGCTGGTCCAGCCATTGGAAGCAACTTCGTCTTGACACATGCTTGAGGCCTGGCAATGAGTTGTGTGACAAGAAATTGTTCAATTGTGATAATGACGATGGGATGCCTGGAGAGGCGAGGGCGAGCAGTTTGCTACTTTATAGCTTTTCTTTATCGTCCCTACGCCATTCAGAGATGTAACAGGACCGGAGTTACCACTCCGCATCAGATAATTCATAATCTGCTCATAATCTCTTCGAGAAAAGACTCATGCCGTGCGGGTGTAAGGAGAATGCGGCTCGCTCCGAGGAACTTCACGTACCGCCGCTATCGCTCCACTCCCTATTCCGGTAGTTATTTTACGTGGGGCAAGATACGACCTTGAGTGGCGGAAGATGATACGTCATGGTCCCGACTGATGCTGACTCGCTTGATCAAGCCAAGCCGTCTTACATCTCCTGCTAGCGGGCTCCGATGTTTGATTTGATTACCAGGAAAACTCCGATATAAAGCGTGGTGTACCGATACTATTTAGCCACGATTCGCGCTGCTGCAGACATGTGTAACTTTCTGAGCCAAACAGACAGATGCCGCTAAGTGAACCCGGAGTTGCCATTGTTCATTCATGTTCGGTAAGATCTAGCTTTCCTGCTATCATTACTATTACCATTATCGCTATTATTATGACAATGTTATTCTAGATACAATGCGTATATTTAATCCCTCAGTTATTCTGGTCGCTCGATTTTCTTCTTCCAGCAAGGCGAGCAGTGTTGTACACCGGGATGCGAAAGGGTAAAACATCTTGACAAAGCTCATGGCCCAACATATAAAAGCCAGCCAGAGATGAGATAAACCCAAATGCGCCCGCTGCTTTCATGAGGCTAGTACTGGTCGCAACATTACCATCTGCCCTAACAAAGTGCGATATACAGTTGAAAACATATGAAAGCTCCAATGCACCATATACAACGATATTGGGACCGCCGCTACTAATGTTAACAGTGGTCTAAGGGTGTTTTCAAGATAGGTTCATACGTTGGCAAAGATGCAATTAAAAAAAAGAGATTTAGTATGCACCAAACTATGTGGATATTAGATTCTCAGTCGGTGCGCTCCTTGAGATAAGAATGACTTACCAAGCTGGTAAATTCCAAACGCATTGTAATACTCGGCTGTCTGGCCCTGATATGACTCGAAAATGCCCATCGAAGGTAATATTAATACCCCATAGCCGCCGTAGTATAGTCCTATCCGAAGATGTCAGACGTTGGTCTCAGTAAGTCACGAAAACTCTGGGGGATGTGTTAACCAAAAGCTGCCAAAACTGTGTAGTTGAACGTGTTGCCCTTGACCATTTCCCACTGGGCCGAGATCAAGAGCCCAATTCCAGCGAGAAAACAGAGGTTTGCTACAAAGACGGATTGGTTTGACACTCCTCGGAAGCCCATGGCAGACAGGGACAAAGCCATTAACGTAGTTGCAAAACTGCCAAAACCTAATGCACTCTGGGGTATATATTAGCGATCTATCACAAATGAGTGTCAAAGGGGTGCTATCCTTTGAGGTCTGGTGCACGTTCATACTGGATTGGCAAGGTCCCTCTGTCTAACGACAGGCAACCCAAGCGGCTTAATGTCGCTCTCTTGAATCAAATTCATTACAAAATCACGAAAGCTGCCGCTCGGAAATAAGTTTGAGACTGTTACAATGTAAGTCCTCGTAATTTTGGGCACGCCGATAGCTTAATATAAGTGATCATCGACTCTATTACGTTACGCGATCACATCGATTGGAGCGGCGGAAGGTCATCCAAATAACCTTGTTTTATTATAAAATAAAATGCCGACTTATGGCCTACATGCAGTTACATACACACCAGTCCCGCTGTCAGGGTGTCAAACCGAGCAATGGAATAAAGACGCTACCCGCTCTTGTGGTGGTCTGATCAATTGTCACAGAATCGGATAAAGAGCCATCCGTACTAGAGATGGTAAGCTGGGCTCGCTGGGACTAACTCAACATGGACGCCTAAGCACGTCTCCATTCCCAAATCTTTTCCTTTGTAGGCATAGCTTACCCGGAATGTTGGCGGGACTTGATGTGATCTATCCGAGTCCTGGGTTGCCCTTCACGAGTCGAGCGCGGTGATTGTGCTAGAGATAAACAGAAAGCTCTCCTCCATTCTTCAGGACTCAGCTCACCCTAGATCGCAGACATCGGCGATTATGTACAAGCCAAGTTGGTAACACTTTTCGCGTCGCCACTTCATTCTGCGCGGTGCCAAGAGCAACATTTCTCATGCCCCCGACTTCGGCCACGCCGGATTCTCGGTGTTTTCCTCCATCCCCATCATTCTGCTCGTTAAAGAAGAGTTCCACAAAATACAATTACGGGCCATGGATACTTCGTGCTATACATGCCGCCGTCGCCGCGTGGAATGCCGCATGGATCGGCCGCCGTGCAAGAAATGCACCCGAGCCGGACTACAATGTACCCAGACCAGACCATTACGGTGGGTGAATGGTGCTGCATATAGGACCAAGGATACAGGAAAGACGGCTGCAAATAAAACCGGTGTATCCAAGGAAATGACTCTGTTCGGACCGACGTTGGCTGCAAGAGATGTTTCACACGTACGAACCGCCACACATCCACGGTCCGTACTCGTTGCCAATGGAGGAAACAGAGGTGAGATACCCCAAGCTACAGTTAAATGTTCCTTTTCTATGAGTGATTGGTCTCTCTCACTACACTATCCCTATTTCTGACAGACTTTTTGCGCACATAATAGAGTACTCATTTCGGTCAACTGCCATCACGCAGTTAGATGACCCTCTTTTGTCCAACCTTGACGAGACTACTCGGTATTACCTAGATTATTGTACGTATAAACATTTCTCAAAACCTCACGTCGGTGCAACTTGAACAAGGTTTGACCCATACTTCAGATAGCAGATGCGTCTGCAAGCTGTTCATTATGTATGACAGCACCGTGAACCCGTTAAGAAACGTAATTGGGGTTGCTTTCGACAGCCCACTCTTACTGTCTTCTATTATTTCACTCTCATCGCGTCACAGGGCAAATTCAAAGCTCTCATATTCTCAGGGTGGGGCGGTAACCTCGTCCACAATGCTAACAGACACCGACCACACCGCTCTCCGCTTCAAACATAAGACGTTACAAGGGCTTTCGGATGCTGTGAATGATCCTAAGCTGCGTGCATTAGACACAACGATTACGAGTGCGTTTCTGTTACTGTTTCTTGACCTCTTAGAATCGGGGAGCGGTACTTGGAATATACATCTGGAAGGTGTCAAGAATTTAATCACCCAGCTGGAAACTCACACCAGGCCAAAAGGAACAGGACAACAAGATTTTGGTACATATCTTATAAGTATACGGGAGTTCGTCTCCAGGCAGATTTACGTGTAAGTTTGTTCAACATAGCCATTGTTGCCACATTGATTACCGCTAACCACCTCTTATCAGGATTGAAAACCTCGGACCAACATACGCGAATCCAGAAATATTGTCAAAAACGCCTATTCCTCTATATGAAGCCAAACGGCCACTGCAGCAGAAGCTGGAACATTCATACTTGGGATGCCCCGAGTATATCTTAGCCGCTCTCGGAACGTTTTCTTCCTGTCGAGATTTTCTCTTATCTTCACCGCCGAGAGGCGAGGCTGACCTTGAAGCTCGTACTCAGAAAGTAAATGACGTGCTTAGATCTATAGAGAACTTTGATTGTGCTTCTTGGGCGGCAACACTACCACGGCTGCCTTCAACTTCGGTGCAGATTCAAAGCCTGTCAAAGTTAGCAGCGTCTTATCAACTTGGGGCTCAGATATATGGCAGACGCGTTCTTGACGCTCTCGTTGGGGAGGAAACTTCTCAAGACCATCTCGTGCGTCGACTTATTAGCGTCATTCAGGTGTTAGAGAGTGACGCCAACCTGTTCAAATGCATACTCTGGCCAATGGTCATTGCGGGATTGGAATCCCGCGAGAAGTTGCACAGGGAATTTATATCAGGCTGCTTGGAGAAATTTTGGCTTGAGACAAGATGCTTGAATGTGGTAAATACCGGCGCTATATTACGTAGGTTGTGGCAGTGGGAAGAGCCGGAGGACGCTGGCCCGAAGCATTGGATATTTAGGATTGGTCAATTAGGAGGAGACTGGCTTCTTGTATAAAGAGTCAAGCGCTCATATATCAAGTTAGATCCAAGGGGCAGTTTCAATATCTTTATTTACTAATCCATAGTTTAGCTCTTTGTCGCATCTATTCTCCCAAGTTTAACTGCAACAAAAACATCGTGGCATAAGAAGTTTTAAGCAGATGCCCAGTAGTTCGAAGGTACATTGCGTATTGGAATAACGTTTTGGATCAATCTTTGGTGGAGAAAGTCTGAGATCCAAGAAACGGCTTGATTACCCTTTATGCCTCTTCATAACCAGCGATGCATTCGATCGTAAGTAGTGGATAATTTGGGGTCCAGTTAGACTCTTCTATGGAGTGCAATTTCTTCCATCCTTGGCATCCTAAGTTCCATCTTTAGAGATAAGAATACAGTATCTCTAATGAAGGCTCGACGAGGTTTAACCTCTTTGTAGCTCTCTCCTGACTTCGACTTAGTCATGTTCTCAATTTGCTAGACGTCATGCCCAGACAATATGATTAACTCCCTTCATTACAGATCTATTCATTGATGAATCTTATCAAGAATAGGCGATTCGACTCGCGGATGACAACACAAATAGCTATCTGTGATCCCAGTACTGCTATTGCTTCGTTTCGGTAATCTGGAGGTAACCAAAGCAGTCGTTCCTTGCCGTTCATAATCCACATACCGTCAAGGCTTATACCATAGCCATAGTAAATAACTTCTCTTGATGATAGCTTGCTATGCATTTGAGAACTGCCAAGGTTCAAATCCATGACTCCAATATTAGTTTGGATACGAGAGTTGCTAAATGGATCAAAGGAAAGACTATCGATCCGCGGGACAACTTTATCAAGCATCATCAGGCACGCGCCTGTAGCCACGTCCCATGTCTTGATGATGGACAAACGCTTCCAAAAACCATACGTGTCTCTCCCATATAGTGAGTATGACACCATTAGCTGGTTATCCGACGAGTACGCGAACATTTTCACTCGCCCTCTGTGCGGAAACGTCTGTAAACAACAGCCTTCGTCCACATCCCAACTTTTCACTTCGTAGAGCGAGCTCGTAGAATGCTTCCCCGTACCAAGTACCTTGCTATCAGGAGATAAGAACGTCTGGTCGGCGCCCTCCATCGTTGTTATATGCCGTATTTTCACCTGTGTAAGGCTGTCTTGCCTTAGCTGTCCACTTTCTGAAACCATCTTTCGAGGTGTTTCCGAGCTTTGTTTTCGGAGACTTTGGGAACAAGTGCCATCCAACATGCTCCAGAACGTAACTTCACCATCTGATGTTGTTTTTATCGACTTGGAATTCTTCAAGAAGTAGACACCATGGATTTGAAGAATAGGGGTTGTGAGTATCGGAGAGGTATGTCCCCTATCTAGATTCCAGATTCTGACTGTCCCCTCACTTGAAGCTGATGCCAATTCCCGGCTATTTGTACAGAATACCAAAAAGCTAGGCGCATAATTCGGGCTATGTATTGTCTGTAGGCAGTCTCCCGTAGATGTATCCCAAATCTTGATATGTCCTTTAGTAAAAGTAGACGCAATTCGCAAGCTGTCTGGCGAGAACACCGCTGATATCACCACAGATCTCGGCATAGTTCCATCCACTGCCAATACTTTTCTACACTTTCCTGTCTCAATATTCCAAATTTTAATGCCTACTTCGGTGGCGGCAAAGGAAGCGAACTGCTGACCATTTGGTGAGAAGGTAATTGCCCGCGTTGGTTGATTACAGCTGCCTTGTAGAGTCTGAAAAAGCTTTCTGGCCCCAGGGACAGTTGGTCGCTATATCCCAGATATCAATCTCTCCATACCAATGGATGGCAAATCGCGGGTTATCTGCTGAAAAGACGACAAAGGGTGAAGACGGAGCTTTTGAATAGGCCGAAGCAGGCATGTTGAGAATCTGTGAGGGAATATCTGCTAAATCCCAAACGATGAGGTCATTCTTCTTCGAGAGTGTAGAAGCTAGCTTGCCGTTTGATGATAGCGTAACTGAAACCCATTTGTAGCTGTAACTATGGTTCTTGAATTCGAATGTCTGAAGGCAATTGCCATTCCTCGCATCCCACATCTTGATCGTGCCGTCGTCTGAAGCCGAGACGAGCTTTTGACAATCTGCCGAATAGACAGCCGACCTAACCTCTGCACGGTGGCCCCTTAGAGTCAAGAGGCATTCTCCCTTAGGAGAATCCCAGAATATGATCAATTTATCCACAGATGCTGTTACGAGTCGCTGGCCATCAGCTGAGCAGGTAATACCTAATCTCGTACTTTCATCGCCTTCCAGTACTTGGAGGCAGGGGCCCCATTTTGCATCCATGGTTGGTTTTGATGCAATCCATGCCGGCTCTTCCTTACTGAATAGCCGCTTTATTAGGCTCTCGGCAGGACTAAATAGGGGTGCGGATGCGTAAATCTGTAGCGGTGCAATCTCAATCATTTTCTTATGCGTAAAGATGAATCGACGGGCGTCTCTTATGATATCTGCTGATTGCATAAGTTGCTTCTTTTCCATCTTTTGCTAAAATTGTGAGTCTTCAGCACGGAAGTGTTAGGTGACAGTACGGGCACTTACTAGTAATGCTTCGAGTTTGTTGAGTGCTGTTACACCGTAAGACACACTACGCTGCAGACTAAGAGCTTCTATCCAATACAGATAACGATTCTTTAAGAACTGATTTATGATTCTGTCGTCGTCAAGGTCGTTGATTTGAGTCCAGGTTTCTGAGATTCCATCACATAAGTGGTCGACCCAGTAGACACAAGAGTAACGTGTTGTTGCCAAAGGATCGGGTTCTGGAGTCATAATTTCATCAATGGGAATTCCAGGGGCCTTCAAGTCCCACAAGTCGCGCTTTAGGATCTGAGACATGCCATGGAGCGACCTGGAAAAGAGGGAATGATGAATTTTCTTTACTCTACTTGGGGAAATAAACCGGAAAGCTTTATTCAAGAGATAGTCTTTGGTAGATTGGTGAACGAGGTATATATTTTCGTCTTGTATGGTAAGAAATAAGCCGCACATAGTCACAGCTCTCCGGATGGCCCTGGGTTTCTCAGTTATCCCACGGTGTAAGTTCGAAAGAAACCCTAGCTCAGAGAGACTGAGTGGTTGATATGCCGCACACGCCGTTGAAAGCAATTGCATGCAGTACATGTGGCTTCCTCTCTTCAGCTGCAGAATTTGTCCCAATATGCGGGCGTAAACTTCTTTCAAGTCCGATGGGATTTCATCGACGACATGCAGAGCGTCCCAGCTTTCTACTTGTTCAAGTTCTTTCATAACAAGAGAGACCCATAAGAATGTTCCGTTAACTTTTTGCCGCATTGCCTTCTCAAGGTCATCTTGGAGTTCTTTGTCATCCCGCACCAAGTCCAGCCGTGAAACGCTATATTTAATGTAAGTATCAACGGCATCAGATATTTTGGCCTCAATGTCCTTCAGCTCTAGGCTGAGTAGCGCCCGTGAGCTGCAAGTACTTAGTTTCTGCTTAATAATAGGCCCATTACGGCTGGTAATAATCCATTTAACTCGAGGTAGTGATGAGTGCTGAAGAATGAAATCTAGGAGCTTTGCTTGATCTGCCTCACATTCGTCTCCTGCATCGATAACTAATATCGTGTTATCGATGCCCGTATCCTGCAGAACATTGAGAAGCATATGTGATAGTGCTGTCCAAGCATTCACGTCCTCGAAAACGCCCTTGCCTGCGATATCATATTTGCTCCTAATATGTGAGATGAGTGATGCCTGCTGGTGAATAATAAGGTATAGAAGGCCGCGCAGTATGGCTACAGCAGAGTTGATGCGTGAGTCGGTACCCTAACAGAAGAAGTAAGATAGTATTATCTAAGACTCTGGGTTAGTAATTCTCGTTTGATTTGCCAACTCGTCGATGATACCGCATGCCAGCATAGTCTTTCCCTTGCCTGAATCCCCCGTGATCTATAGCAGCTGTCCTTCGGTGTCGTCGTTGTCATACCACAACTTGAACTTGTCATTTTCGAGGATCCAATTGTACAACTCTTTCAAGAGGCCACCCTTTGTTTGCTCATTCCGAATCTTGTCGTCGCGGGGGTCTGTAGATCGCAAATCGGCTAAGCAGCGATCGCTTGCGCCATCGGAAGAATAGTGATACACATTGCCTTGGTGGATAGTGGCATTGTCGCCAAACCTGCTTTCCGCGATGCTCATTTCGAACAAGCATTCGAAAGGATTGTAATCTTCTCGGATGAAGTCTCTCAGGTTTGAAAGTTAATGACTCAATGTATCAGACGGCATTAGATAAAGGTTGAAAATCAAGATGCAATCGGGTCGACTCAATATTATGCCTTACTGCAACCTAACCTTGCCCATTGATGATACCAGGCACCCAATTAGTTTGCGGAATACCGCTGAGAGTGCGGAGTATGTCATTATAACCAATCAACGAGCCTCTTAGCCAATACGAGTACCAGCTATATCTATTTTTCACTTGCCTCAAGCGCAACAGAGCAGGCGTTTTTTCAATTTTGATGCTTTGGGTAAATGTAGCCATTGCTTTGGGGCTTTCCAATGTTGCAGCTACATAACTCGGCAATGCAGCAATGCTCAACGACTAACTCAATCCTATTTCTTAACTCACCACGTCACAGTAGCCGCTTACATGCCGCGATTGCTCGTAAGTAGAACCCTAACCATTCGTATGCATATTGGTACTTAACACTGCGATATCACCAATTTTTCAGAGCCTGGATGCTTTCCTATTGATAGTTCAAATTTCTCTCGGAATTAGGCTCTACATCTCAAGACTCCAAATATGGAGTTACATGGTTCCGTTATTATTATTATTATTGCGGTTACCGCACCCGTGCTAAGGCGCTTACTACCAATGGATCGGTTATTCCTCGACTGGGGTGCTACTAAATGTAATGGAGCTGGCGCAGGCCAAGGCAGAGACTGCCCTATGATTCATTGGGATTGAAGCGATGTTGCCACTTCCACCCCCGAAATCCTCAGTCGCAACACATGTATGTTGTTACAGCCAACGCTCACGCATGAATTGACTAAACGTCGTCTACTCACTCTTCCCTCTCAACCTATCCAACTGTCACATGTCGCATATTCTTATGTCCAGCCCCATAGTCTATTTGCTAGCGCCAGTTTATTCGCACACTCTGTCACCACTCTGCCAATCAAGAACTCAACTGTTTTCAACCCCCTAGGTTTCCCGGAAGATTCACGGCCACACACATCCGGGCGCCATTTCATTGAAGCTCCAATGTTTCTTGTTCTCCTATTATGTCTTTTCCTTGCTCTCAATGCTGCCGGAGCCCATGGCGGTGGCCACGGCTGGACAGGAACCGTCATCGGGATCGTAGGGGATTTCGGCCACAGTCGCGTACGCCGGGAGGACTTTGCTAACTCATGAGGGTTAGGATCTGGGCACAACAAATAGTCGCGTTGCGGTGATGCAGCAAGGAAAGGTTGAATTCCTTCTTGACAACGAGGGAAGCACAGCCCTTCCTATATGTGTCGCCTTCCCTGATGTTGGTTTCTCGCTGGGCAAATCTGTGAAGGGTTCGCTGGAAGTAAACCTTAAGACAACCGACGTCGGCGTCGGGAAAGATATTGAGTACGGCCTCTAATCACTCTACGTACGCTGTATACTAACGGGCTGGAGGCGTTGGATTCCCTGCGATCTCAGTGGTGAGCAGACCTTGGCTGATATCGACCACTTGCCTTACAATCTAGCTTCCCGAGAGGGCCAGCCGGTCTTCAGCGTCAAGAGAAACGGCTTAGAATGGCAATTCCCGGTAGAGGACGTCTATGCTAGAATATTTGCAAATTTGCGAAGGAGAGCAGAGGTGTATCTCGGCAAGAAGGTTACTCATGCTGTCATCACAGCTCCAACCGGCTTTAACGTGAGTCGCATCCAAAGCTCATCAAACACCAAAAACAGTTTTTTAAACTCCTATGCAGAGCAGCCAGCGACTGGGTCTCGTAAATGCCGCGTCCGTCGTCGGCCTCAATGTTCTCCGAATCGTCAGCAAACCCATGGCAGCCGTGCACGCTGTAGGGCTAGGGTGTGCTGGCCTTAACGACAAATATATTGATGACGAACACTATGTCCTTGTGTATCACTTTGGCGGTGGTACCTTGAAAGTGTCGCTGCTGTATCATGATATGGGCTTATACGACACCTTAGCCGACGATAGCCAAACCCGCCTTGGTGGTGAAGATTTTAATGAGGTGATTGTCAACTACTTTACTGTACTTTACAACGAGAGGAATGTAATCGACATCACCAAAGACTCCACAGCTATGGGAAAGCTCTATCGTGCCGCTGAAAAGGCTAAGCGAGAATTGTCGACGCGGACAAACACTCATCTCGAGATTCAGTCATTCCACGAGGGAAGAGATTTCTCTGGGACCCTGACACGCACCAAATTCGATGAATTAAGCATGGGCTTATTTGAAAAAGTTTTGGAGCCGACTGAACGAGTTCTCAAGCTCAGCAATGTCAGCAAAGACCAAATCGATGACATTATCCTCATTGGTGGCTCCACACATATTCCCAAAGTTCGGACTCTCATTGAAGAGTTCTTTGAAGGAAAGAACGTCATCAACATTATCCAAGGCAGCAGGGCGGTAGTCTTCGGTGCTGCCTTTGAGGCGGCTCGTCTCTCTGACGATCCTGATGTATGGCTCAGCGCGCAACGCTCATGGGAACTCCGCGAAGCTATGAGTAAACAGTACAGCGAGTTAACACTGGGTGTTCAAACAAGTACTGGGGCCATGGCCAAGTTGATTCGACGTAGCACTCGCATGCCCACCATTGCGACCCAGACCTTTTCCACAGCCGCCGACAACCAGACTTCGGTTTTCATCCAAGTGTTTGAGGGCGAGCGTTATCAAGCCCGTGACAATAATTTGCTCGGCCAGTTTTGGCTGACAGATATTCCGCCCATGCCTCGCGGTATCCCTCACATTGAGGTTACATTGGAACTTGATTCCAGTGGTAATATCAAGGCTGTAGCCTACGACACGGGCACCGGTGCAGAGAAGTCTATTCTCATTCCCAACTCTGAGGACCGCATATCCGATGACCACCTCGATCGCATGGTCCTGGCGGCTGAGCAGCATGAGAAACAAGATTTGGCCATGCGTGAGCTGTTCAACAGCCAAGGAAGCCACCTGATCGTTGGACGCTGAAGATCCTGTTGGAGAAATTCTCACACAAATATAACCCAAACAAGGCTTATTATGTATGTATTGTCAACAAGCCCCATTACAATTCTCACCATATTAGCAAGGCGCCCATAGAAGACAACTCTAGCAAGCCTCTCGGGTTTAGGCAAGTCAGAGGTGTAGCCGTAAATACTCAGCACGTCAGCGTGAAGATAATACTAGCAATACGATATACAAACTTAAAAACAATACGAAGGAAAACATACAACGAACATTCTGCCTACTCCAGGACTATTACTATCCCTGCTCTATACTAACACACCAAGTTCCGCCTGAACTTGACGCAGCAATAAACCCATGTCTGCGGAACCTAGCTTTCTTGGCCAAGACTTAAGCGGAAGGCTCAGTGTAACAGCGACACAAGCGTCGCTCCTGTGTCGCGTCGACTGATTGAGACGGAAGCCTCATTTGCGTCTGACCGCACCACCCGCGTTTTGGGCTTCACCGTTTTAAAGCAACATTACGCTCATTTGAAGTTTGAGGGACCTTGATTCTTCCCCTTTGGAGCGAAAGCACTGAGAGGATGTGCTCCTCCAACATGAGATGACTCTAGGGAGAAGACCTGGTTCATTCACGACCCAAGATGACCGCCACGATACCCCAAAGGAAGATGGTTTCAAATTGATATTGATTAACCCCCCGCGCTCAACCATTTGGTCCAGGGCCGGTCTGGGCGCTTCCTGCAGCGATATGGTTGCACAAGACGGTCTGGCGCGTCTCGGAACCATATGATTGCACACAACACCGGAGTGCAGCCAAAAATAAACCCGTTTCCCCCTATTACCTACCTATGAGTTACCACACCGCGTTGTTTACCACCTTCATGATCGTCATTCACGACCACCGTACCAGCTCTTATTAAGCCCAAGTTCCTGGAACCTACTCTTCCATGTTTCCGCTTGTCGCCCGCTTTTATGGTTTTCCGATTAGTATTTCTCAAACTCAACGAATCTTGGTATCGAAGGACGTTTCTCTCCGTTGCGGTTCCGCGAGCCTTCTGATAGTCCATTATCCGATACATATAGCCATCAAATACTGAGTTAAAGATGACTCTGTTTTCTCATCGCGCGAATCCTCAAGTAGAAAATGGATTGGAACAAAGACCAAAGGTAATGTGATTATTGAATTGTCCCCTTATATGTTGCACACAAGTCGACGTCGTTTCCAATTCAGTCATCTGCACGGAAGAAACTCGAGGTATTGTGGCAGCCAAGATTGCCCGCGTCCGCCATCGGCCAAGCTCAAAGCAGCAATGACGAAGACTATGAAACAAACGGATCACCAATGCCTATTGAATCTGGCAAGGGGTCGTCTACGGGTTCATCCTCTCTTACTCCTGGGCACTCCGAAAAAGAGGTGGGTCTTACAGGATCCTCTTTGCTTGAGGGAAAGCGATCCATCATCTTGTCCTAATCATCCTGGATGTTACTGTGGCGCTGACACCGACGGACCAGAACTACAGCCCGAAGCCGAAACAGACTCCAACAGTTGGAAGCTATAATAGCAGCAATTACGATGCCGCAATCACCGACGGCCCTGACTCTATAGCAAGCAGTTCGGATATATCGGCCTCCGCCTACCGCAAAGCTTGGTCTTCACTTAGTGAAGACCAAAGGAAGGAATTGACAGGAGAGGACGAGATCAGAAAACTCTTCGAACAACTGAAGCAAACTGATCAAAAGCATGGAGACCAATGTCTTCTTCGGAAAGGTCTGAGGGCTGTGAGTCCGTATCTAGAGCGGCTTCGCATCACCATCGACTTCATCAGCCCCTTCGCCAGCGTGGAACCGACTGCGGGGACTGCGCTTGGGCTCATTAAAAGCGTCAATTCAGTATGTGAAAGATATTTTTGGCTGTTGTTTGGACATGACTCTTACTGTTACTTCTGAAGTTGTTCGTTAAACATACAGCTGATACTTGATGGACTTCTAGATCGCTATTGCCATCTGCGGTGCTGCCGATGATATAACAGGTCACATTGAATCGTTTCTTGAACGCATCCCAGCGATCGAGCGGTGCAATGAGGTTGTCAACGGACGCAGTCGAATGCTCGATATATACAATGTCAGTTACAATGGGACTTGTAGATATTGCGGCTAACTCCTGGCAGGCATTGGTTAATGTGTACAAAGACCTCTTGCAGTTTTATCACAAAAGCGTTGTCATGTTCAAGAAATCTGGATTCATCATACATGTGGCTATGGACTGGTTGAAACCAGAACTCTCTGGGATAATCTCCTCGTTCAATGCCCATGCAGACGTTTTGTCCAAGCTGCTCGAGTCCGAGAGTTTTGCCACTGTTCAGGAAATTAAGGATGAGCAAGTAGACACTTTGAGTAAGTACTGACTCCTCAACGGGTGCTGTGATCTCTTGAGCTGAAGAATTTGGCAGTTCGTGATACCCTTGACATCAACAGAGGAAATGAAATCGCTTATCATAATGAATTGAAGCGACGTGACGACGAAGCGTGCAGCTAGATTACGTTCAACGAGCACTTCTCTTACTGGAGATTGAACTCGCGTGACTCGAATCTCTTGGCCTTGTTCGGAGACATGGGTTGCGGGAAAACAATAACTACTGCTTACGTTGTGGACAATCTATCACAGGGGCATCTTGTCTGTGCCTATTACTGCAAAGGCGATCAAGAAACTACAAAGCTTGGGAATATTTACCGCAGCCTCCTATGGCAACTGCTCAAACGGAAGCCCGACCTCAAGGCCTGCTTCTCGGACTGGTATAAGAAGACGGAGTCACAAAGCCAGGTGAATCCAACGCAGTCCGATGATAAGTTGCGCGACTTCTTATACGACGCTGTTTCTTCATCAAATCAATTGATCTTCATTGTTTTAGATGGCCTGGACGAATGCGAGGTCTATCCTCGGATTCAGCTGCGTTCCCTCTTTCATGACCTCTTCAAACACAACGCTCGGCTGAAAGTTTTCATTTCTTCCAGGTATGACGATGATATTGAAAGTGCTTTGCCGCCAGCCGCCAGCCGAATCGAGCTAGGCTTGTCGAAGGAAAGGGACCGTATCATTGCGAATTACCTTGCCAGCCAGATCAATATCCCCGAAGATACTCGCGAAAAAGTGGTGGATGTGCTTTCCGCAAAAGCTAACGGCTGCGCGATTTGGTTACGAATATCGCTGGAGTACATTGGGAAACTTCGCATACAAAATCAGAAGGGTTTAGAAAGTGCGTTGAACCGCCTTCCTTCGTCTAAGAGCCTTGCCGAACTGTACTGGACGTTATTCGACAAGATTTGCTCGGGTTTTCCAGAGAATGAGGACAATCTACAGCGGGCCCTGGAGACGCTCGCCGTTGCCCGGCGGCCTCTAACGGCCGACGAACTTGCTTACGCTGTGTTTATTGACATCGATGACGATACTCGTACGACTCTGGGTGAACTGGACCAGATTGCCCATTCTGTGAAACTGCTTGACCTCATCCGACCTTTCGTCAGCATCATAAACGTGAGAAACGGAAAGGATCTTCAACTGCGTCTTGTTCACCAGTCTCTCAAAGAGCTCGTATTGCAGGCTCCACCATCAAGTTGGAGTTTGGTTGGGAGAACAAATTGGCAAAACCAGGCTGTCCAACGCAGGGCGGAACTAAACGGATCTCTCCTCAGGCGTTGCATCAAGTATCTCCTCTTTGAAGAATGTGGGGAGAATAATCTTTCCTCGGGCTTCAGAAACAGGCCTGATGTCGAGTTTCTTGCTATTGGAGGCGTGCTCGACAATGACGAGTTTCCGACTGAATCGCCCTGGTTGAAATCGCCCCGGGACTTTGATCCGTCTAATCTCGGACTCGGGGGCTTTTTCACTTACGCTGCCCCGTACTGGACGGCCCATTTCCCCGATGCGTCACAGAAACTATGGCCAGATCCAACGGACTTGATTGTTTTATGCAGCAGAGGCTCTCAGCGCCTTGAGAACTGGGTGGAACAGTGGCAACGGCCGAATTGCTCTTACACTACAGAATTCAGCTTCCCCGAAGTCATGTCACATCTGGATCCTCTAGTCGTGACGGCGATGTTCGGTCCGGTAGCTTACATGGCTGACCTGCTCAAGTGCAATCTCCAGACTCCAGACTTCTTGCCCGACTCTGTTTGGATTGCTGTCAAACACCTAATTAGGCGAAACAGCATCTCAACCATCGACAACCTTCTCAAGGACAAGGACCTTGGGTCGACGCTGTGTTGTGCTGCATTCTTCTATGAAGTGGTATTAGGCTGGTCAGAAGCTGACAGATTGTGCGGCAACACTGCAAAGGAATGGGAAGACATATTTGATTTCCTAATCAGAGAATTGCATGAAAATCTCCTGGACGACGGGAACGAAATTCTCTGTCAAGCAGCTCGCAATGGGTGCTTTGTGCTGGTCAAGAAACTCTTCGAGGCAGCTGAGCGCGATCCAGATTTGAGAAGAGCAATCTTGGCGAAGAACCGTTCGAAGCGTACAGACTGGCAGAATTCCATTTCCACACACCAGTCAATCGGTGAGGCCGCTTATGAAGCCCATGCGAACATAGTTCACTTTCTATGTCAACAAGCCGGGACTGAACCTCATCTGCGACACATAAATCAACGAGGACAAACCGTGTTCCACCAGGCGGCGCGGAGTGGCCATGTGGAAATTTTCCAAACTTTGATTCAACGTTGGCCTGAAGGGATCAACCTTAGGAATAATGCAAACGATACCCCTCTTGTTGAGCTCATCTTCAATAGCCCCCGGGGCGACATCGAGACAATAGAGACCGTCAGGGTCATCCTGTCCATGGGCAAAGCTGACGCCACCGGCTTGAATGATGACCCTGGTTATTCGCCCCTATGCACGGCTGTTCGAAGGGCCAATATCGCTCTGTGTAGGACACTCATCCTTGAGGGCTCAGCCGATATATCATGCGCAGTGAGTGTTGAGGAAGAGACTGGGAAACCTTTTTTGAAGAAGGACGTGAATACTCAGGAGACGCTCGGTGCTCAGGAAAAGATGCTGAAGGAGCTTTGTTCCCTACTTCCTCTTGCTGTGTCAACAGAGTACTTGTTCTGAAATGTAAATAACGTTGCTGGTAATTCGGTGCGGCATGATAGTACTAGCTCCTTCTGGCTCATGTTCAGCTTGCCTACCACTTCAACTCACAGAAGGGATACATAAGAGTCTGACTATTAACCAACGTGTCGGCCATGTCATCGGGTTTCTAAGTAAAGAGTCCACGATACTTGTACTGTCGTGTCTTGCATGGCCTTCCCACACGACCTGCCAAGATGACGTCTTCGCATTCTTGCCATGCTCGTGAAAGTTATATGATGAACTGTGTATTGTCTCATAGGTCTAGATCAGCATCGGCATACACACTCCGTGATGGAACTCCGCTATGATGACCTCGACCACTGGGCAAAGCCCTTTAAGGGGCCTAGTGCACCAGATACAGCAAGCTGTAAGAGGCGACCCAAGAGTCGGCACGAAACAAATACCAGCCATGTAGTCATTCACAGTGCAGCTGCGTAGTGTAACTTTGGACCTTCTCGTGGATAAGGATTGGTGGGTAGCCCTATGTCAACTTGTCTGAAGCTCGGAGATGACACGATTAAGGTTCCTCTATCTCATGGCTCAATCGCGTTTTCTCCATCTGTGATGTCTCACCAGGCTGCTGACTCCGCAAGAAGCGCGCAGACTTTCTTTGGTGTTTCAACTACTCAGCTGCTGGAGTCTCCTTTGGGAACCTGAAGAGGAATTAGAGAATCGTCACCGTCGTGACGCCGTTCCAACTCGGGTTTGCAACCATCTGCTTCCTCTCTAATTCCTTTATCAACAGCTTCCGAAAAGTCAACGTGTTTCTTAATCACAAATCCGTAGTACTCAAAGGAGCCCTCGTCTCCGAGCACCTGCATATCGATGTCCCACAAATCATCTGGGTTTAACAGTGGCTTTATGAAGTGGGGTTGTCTAAACGTGACGTATAGAAACACCCCACGATCCTTCAGTATTCGGTGGACCTTGACGGGTTATCAGAAGGACATGATCTGCAATGTTCCGCTGGAGAGGGAGGCCTACCTCTTTCAAGTATTTACTCGCATTCTCCTTGACTTCGCGGGGAGGATTCCAAGGACTGCCATGTATCATGGCATCCAGTGTTCCCTTGTCGAAGGCAACGTCGACAGACTTGTCGGGAATACCAACCATGTTGCGTACGTCCATATGTTTCCATTCTATCCCTTCCAGCTTGCTGTGACGTTCAGCCATGAATCCAACGACGACAGTGGAGAAATCGATGCATAGCTGTCGTCTGTAGCCGCGAACCGCTAATTCGGCAGGGATAACCTGCACGGAGGACTGGTTAGCAGCTGGATAACTGGGTTGGGACTAGCGATGACAGACACTGTCTCCAGACCCAAGATGTAGAATCAGCGGGTCGTCTTCTGCCTTCAAACCCTGCAGGCCGAAAAGATTCTTCTGGAAAAAAGGTTCTAGCTCAGAGAAGGAGCGAAACCACTCGTGCGTCGGCGCCTCTCCCTCTGACTTGGAATAGCGCCTATCCCAATAGTCGGCATGAGCAAGGGCTTGATTGTCTTCAGTTGCCATCGAAAGGCGGAAGCGCAGGTTAACGTTGGACGAGGGGCAACAATTAATGTCACGACCTAATCTAACCTCTTATGCAATCTAAGATAAGTATATACCTGGAACAAGGTTGTTCTACTTTAACTAATAAAAGACTAGAGTGCTAAACTTAATTACTAGAGCGCTTTATATAATTATTCCCTTAGATAATAGAGTAATAAGCTATATTACTTTATAAAGAAATAACTTATTATATAAAAATAAAATACTTATACTTATTAAATAACTTAAATAGTTAATTATTAATATAATAATAAAATTAATTTTTATATTTAATTTATTAACTATATAATAAAATTATTTATTATATTTTACTATTTTTATTAATATAAATTATAAATAATTTATTATTTTAAAAATTTACTTTATATTACTTAATATAAACTAATTTATTATATATTAATAACTTTTATTTAAAATAATATTATATATTTTTAAGTAATAAAAAGTATTATAGTTTTTTAATTAACTTTTAAATTTATTATTATTTTTAAAAATTTTATTATAATTTTAAAAAACTCTCCTAGGTATAAAGAATAAACTGCCTAAGAGCTAAGATTAGAATAATTATTATTAAACCTTTATCTAGTAGCTATTAGCTAGCCCAGCTGATTTACATCTTCTCTTTTATAGTTAATTTAGGTTACCCTCTTCTGCTTTATTTATTCTTTAGGCTCTAGCAGACCTTCTCTACAGCGCTAATAGTATTAGGATTATAAATTTTCGCAGTAGCAGCTATTATCTTAGCAGTAGTTGCCGTCAGTTTCTTATCGCCTTTAGCCATTGTGGCTGTTTATGACTTCAGTTGGCCGTTAACTTATTTTTTATTATAAGGGTTTATTGCTTTTATAGTGTATTATCTCGTCAGGTAGTCTTTTAATTTTAAAAGCGTTATATACATAATCTATTTTTAAAGATTATCGCTGCCTTTTATAACCTAATAGAATAATCTTATTTAGTCTAGTTAAGTTATTAAATTATAAGTTACGGGCTTAAAGCTTGCGTTATGCTTAAACCTGGTTGTTTAGGCCTTTTTGTGTATTTTAAGTTTAGTCTTAAACCTTAATTAGTTATATTTTATAGCCTAAATTTTTAAGGTTTAACTTAGTTAGTTATAGCTAATTAGGTTAAGCTATGGATTAATTCTGGATTTTAAACTAAAGGCTAGGGTATAGCTTTCCTTTAACCTAGCTATTATAGCTTTACTGAACTTTTTAATAATAAATATAACCTTTATAAAAAAGAATATTAGTAATAATAAAAAAATAATAAAAGTAAAGTATTTATAAATATAATTAGTATTTTTTTATTTTATTTTTACTTTTTTATAATATTTTAAAATATTAATTAATTATAATAAAAGGTAAAAAGTTTAATATAAAGAAAAGTAATAAAAAATATAATAATAAAAAAAATAGTAATTAAAAATAAAGTTTTATTTTAATATTTAATTAAAAAAGGTAATACTTTATTTTTTATTACCTTAAATTACTAAGATTTATTATATAAAAATTATATTAAGAGTATAATAATAAATAAAAATATAATTAACTTTAATATTTATATAAATTTAATTATATACTTTTATAAATACTAGCTTTATTTTAGTAAAAACTATAAATATATTTTATAATAAGTTTTTATATTTATTATAATATAATTATATATTTAATTATACTTTTTTTAATTATTAATAATTATAGCTTTTTATATAAAAAATAAGCTATATTATAAATAAAAATAATAAAAAAGTAATAAATTAAGGGAATTAATATATAAGTATAATACTTTTAATATACGAGCATAACCTTACATAGGTATAACTTTTTATACTTTTTAATTAACTAGAAAAAAAATATTAGCTTAAATAAGATTCTGCTGCCTTTACCTAAAGTACTATTCTTTTATAGCCTATAGCCTTTTTAATTTATAGATTAAAAAAGTGTGTAAACGCGCTAATTTTCTTTATTTATAAATTAAAAACGCGCCTTTACTTTCCCTATTTATAGATTAAAATAGCTTATAATTACTATTTTTTTTTATTTATAA